TTCCCTGGCTTCTCTCTCCCTGCTTTCCATTTTTAGGAAGGGCAGGCATCTCAATTGGAATGCATGGGAAAACCCAGAGTAGTGACAGAGAAGGGGGGAAAGGCTTCTCAGGGAAAGAAACTGAGGAGTACAACGTAGTAAAATGAGGGCTCCCGTACCTGGGGTACCAAAATGTGGCCCTGGGTGGGGGGAAAGGATACTGGTCCCCCTGAGAAAGGAGACGCAGCAGCCTCAAAATCTTCTTGATGTGCGTAGTTGCTGTTGATCTTGCCCTTCTGGCGTCGGTTACAGAACCACATTCAGACCACGTCCTTGTTGAGCCTGAATTGCTGGGCGATGGGGTGGATCTGTTGCAGCGTTGGGCTTTGGGCACTGCAGGAACATGCTCTCCAGGGTGCCCCGCGTGTGGCTCTTGATACTGGTTTGGTTTCTCTTTCACGCCTACACTAGGGTCTCCGCTTTGCGTATCTCTGGAGATTTTTGTTGTTATCAGCTTCCTCCACCCACTTCTGCAACAGAGGCTGAAGCTTGCACATGTTATTGAAACTGAGCTGAAGAGCTTTAAAATGGCACATGGTAGTTTGACTGAACACTTTCCTAAAGAGAGCCCCCAGGGTAAGCCCCATATCAGCCTGGGTGTATCCTAGGGTGATCCTCTTCTGCTTCAAGAACGTGGCAAATTGTTCGAGTTCTTTCTGCAGAGCTTTGATGTGCTGGGACCCCTCAGAGTTTTTATCCAGTTTTTCCTTCTTTGGCTTCATGTCACCAGGGAAGGCAGTGCAGGGCTCTGGGGGAGTCCCCCTCCAAGTTTCTCCCTTCTTCCCCCACTTCTACCTTGCCTTCAGGCTGGGAGATCGCCAGGCTGTTTTGGGGCACCAGCCGTGCTCCAACTGGAGGCCCACAGTAAGCCATCTATCCACAAAATTCACAAGACAGGGGGCACAGAGGAATCCCCTACATATCAGAGCCTGCCCCAACACCTGGCCCAGTTTCTAGCCCACCAGGAGGGCTTGGAAGCTTAGCCAGGTCTGAGAGTCAACCCAGCCTGGCTCCAGCCCTCCTGGCCCATCATCTCCACCTCTCGGCAGGCGTGAGAAGGCAAAGTCTGAAGCCAAGTGTCCTGCCGTGGGGAAGGAAGACTTCCCAAGCTGGGGACTTGGAGGAATGAGGGAGGCATGTTTTTCTTTAAAAAGTATGTTGGGTAATTTTTGGCCCTTTACATTTCTTTTCTTTTCTTTTCTTTTTCTTTTTTTCTTTCTTTCTTTCTCTTTCTTCTTTCTATCTTTCTTTCTTTCTTTCTTTCTTTCTTTCTTTTTTAGAAAATTTTGTTGTCTGGTACATGTACTCACTGGAGAGACGGAGAGCAACAGAGAGAGACAGAAAGTGAGGAATCACCCCCCAGGAGGGATGGCCATACCTCTATCCCTTGTCCTCCATTTTCCTCACAGGATTTTGGGCATTCATGCACAAGTACCCAGTATGAGTTTCACTTTTTTTTTTTTTTAATATTTATTTTATTTAACTTTATTTATTTAAATTTGACCAGAAAGGGACAGAACGAGAGAGAGAGAGAGAGGGAGAGAGAGAGAGAGAGAGGAAATGAGAAAGCAAGTCACCAGGTCTGGGACTTCAAACCGCAGTCAGCCATGTGAGAGTCCAGTGCCCTTAACCACCACGCCACCTGCTGGCTCCATTTTGTTTTAATTTTACTTCGCTAGGTAGTAATGTGAAAAGCAATCACAATTTGATGTATTAGTTACATTTCTAACGAAGAATAAATATTAAAACCCATGTGCAGGGTTTTTTGCGTTAGGGTGTGTGCACTCAGTGGAGAGAGAGAGACAGTGAGAGGGAAAGTAAGAAATCCCCCTCCCCTCCCAGGAAGGATGACCACATCGCAGTCCCTTCTCCATTCTCCTCCCAGGATTTTGGGCACACCCGACACCCATCCAGCATGACTTTCAAACGACCAGGTCTGGGACTAGAACCACGGTCAGCCACCTGGGAGTCCAGTGTTGTAACTGCTATGCCATCTGCTGGCCCCTGTTTATTTTTTTAGTGCTGCTCTAGGGCACTTGCTTTTACCACAGAGAGACAGAGAAAAAGAGGGAAGGTAAGAAATCACTTTCTGAGGAGGCATGGCCATACTGCAGTCCTCTTCCCTTTTCTCCTGGGGTTTGGGCTCTCACACCTGATGTGTTTTCAAGTCTTTGGATCTGGGACGCAAACTGCATAGTTGGCCATGTGGGATCTAGCCACCAGTTGGCCTAAAACATCATTTTAATATTTTCTCCCATTTCTGTTTGTTGTGGTTAAACAAAAATAGATTTTTTTGTGTGTTTTTTTAATTCACCTTATATCCAACAAATTTATTAACTCTTATAATTATTGGTATAGTCTTTGGATATCCTACATACATAGTTATATCATCTGAAAACAACAAGTTTTATTTCTTTAATTCTATATTTTATATCTTTATTTCCTTGTCCTATTTGACTGAACTTTAGAACAGTGTTGATTTGAAGTGACACTCTTTAAAAGCTTTTCCATCACTGACTTGTTTTATCTTTAAATTTAATATATGCTGTAAGTTGTTTATATTATTGGAATAGCAAAGTTCCATTCTAATCTTTCTCACTAATTTATTTGCTCAATTTTGGTTTTTAACTTGTAAGGGGGTTGAATCTTGTCAAACACTTTTCTGGTTCTATCAAGATAAACATGAGTGATACCTTTTTTTTTTTTTTAAGAGAGATTTTTGCTATAGGGCGCATGCGTTTGCCGGAGAGGCAGAGACAGAAAGCGAGAAATCACCCCCCGGGGGGGATGGCCACACCATAGTCCCTTCTCTTGTTTTCCTCTTGGGATCTTGGGCATGAACACACATGTGCCCAGCATGAGTTTTAAGCCATTGGTCCAGGAACTGCAGTCTACTATGTGGGAGTCTAACAATGTAACTGTTACACCGTCTGCTGGTCTCAAGCGACGACTTTTTTATTGGTGATGTGGTAAATTATATTAAATGGTTTTTTAATGCAAAAGCATTCTTTTGTAAGCCTCACGTGGGTCATGATGTTATTATCTTTTGGTATGTCATTGGATTTGGCTTGCTTATGGTTTCTAATCTTTGTGAATGAGATGAATGCCCTTATAATGTTCTTGTTCTGATTTTGGTACCAAGGTTTTTGTTGGTCTCGGTGTTTCTATTTCCTGGAAGTTTTTTTTCTTTTTTTAACATTTCATATTAACTGGAAATTTATTTTCGTAAAAGCTAAACATGGTCATTTTGAGAAGAAATCCACTGTGATGTGTGGGTTGTTGATCTTGCCATTTAAGTTCTAGAGTGGTCCCCTCACTTCCTTTTTTTAATCCTTGGTAAAATTTTATCCAAAGAATAGGATACATACATATATGTATATTTTAAAACAGGGCCCATTAGAGAATAAAATGTGTAGTTGAGAGTGATTTCAGTTTTAGTGGCCCCTGTGTTTTATCTTTTTTTTTTTTTTATCACCTTAAAGACTAGCAGGATAAAAGGATCACTGACTCCGAGTCTCTCTGAGATTAACGGAAGTGTTTTTTGTAAGATTGGTACTATTTTTCTTTAGAGTTTGGTAAAATCTATTAGTGAAATCATATAGGTCTGGTAATGTTCTTTATCTGATGCTTTTTAATTCCAGACTTTGAGGATTATTCTGATCTTTAAAATTTTTTTCTGTCAGTTTTAATACATTGCACTTTTCTAGGAACTGTAATCTTCATCTAAACTTGTAAACTTTCCACCACCAACTAATCAAACAACAGCCCTGTTTGACTGACAATTGAATGAAGTTACCAAAAATCATACTTGTTGTCATAATGGCTCAGTGGCTTTGCAATCTCAAGATCTTAATTTTAAGATTTTAAAAAATTCTCTGAATCAGTTTTAATGTCTCTTTGGTTCCTGAGTTTATTAAAAAAACAAATGACCATCAGATTTTGTGCATAACCTGGTATTGGATAATTAATGTTGCTAATGGCTATCTTTTTCATTAGGATATTTAACTGGCATACCATTAATTTCTTGCTGCTAAAACTTACACAGTACTTTAAATAAATAAAGATTAGGCTAATATGTACACGTTTATGGCCCTGGGATAAATTTATCAGAAACACATTTTCTCATTTCCAGGATACTTTCTTCATGAACAGCAAATTCCAAAGATCCGAGGACGAGCCTCCTGATGGAGAGTCTGTGCTGAGGATAAGCACTATTGCTTCAGCCATCGCAGAGGCATCCGTCAGTGCTGCTCCTTCCCAGCTTGCTACCATGCTCAAGGCACTTTCAAATAAAACCAGAGACAAGACTTTTCGGGGAGATGATAAACAGAAGGGTTGTCCCATTGTGTCTCATTTCTTCGTTAATGATTTAGAACAAAGTAATGGATCCAATGCATTTGATATGGAAAAATACCTAAAAAAAACCGAAGTTAGTAGATACGAAGGTGGATTGGTAAACTTTTCAAGAACTGGTATGTCTGATATTTGGGATTTATCTTTACCAAATGAACAAACTACCCAGGACAACCACACAGAGGATTTAGGGACAACCAGTACAAGTGTAATGGACCAAAAAGAAAATATAGTAGCTAGTTTTTCTGGTGAAAATGGAGACAGTGAAAACCAGGAATCATTTAAAACAAACAACTCTTCAGATTCAGTTCTTAGAGATATAAGAGAGAATGAGGATGCAGAAGGTGTGAAGACATATCCCACTGACAGCAAATTACCAGATATTGGTTATAGTGAAAAAGCTACCTTAATTTCCACTTCAGCATCTAATAGTTGTTCATCAGTAAGAAACCCCAGAGTAGCATCCCTTTGGCTGTTAGAGGAGGGTGAAGAAGCACAAGATGAGAGAGAACACCAGAGGCAAATTGAGTACGTCACTGAAACAAGCGGTAGCGAGAAGCATGTGACTTTTGAAAAGCATTGTGTGGTTTTACCTAAAACTGTTGGTAAGTATCTGAGTAACTGTTCACATTCACAGACTCAGTCATAGTTTTTTCTGTTCTCATTGGAAAATATACCTTTCTGATAGATTTGGAAGATACCTCCCTTGAGCATGATGGACATGGCTCAGAGGATAACCAGGAGAGCTTCAGACCTTCCACCTCACCACTGAGCCATTCTTCTCCTAGTGAAGTTTCTGGAACAAGTATATCAGGGTAAGTGCTTACCCTTTTTTTAAATTAAAATATGTGCTTAGTATAGAATAAATTGAAAAAAAGTACAAAGAAGAAAAATTGTTCATCTATAGGTTCATCTCTCAAAGGTAACCCTTATAAATATTTCATGAATTTCTTGCCAACCATTTTTTCTATATAAATTTTAGTGACATTGAGATGAATAACTTTGCTCATCAAATTTTAATTCTATGAATTTTTTATAGCTTCGTAGGAGACCTTTTATGTTTTTCTATTGAAAGATTGTAATAAATAGAATTCTTTTTTTTTCTTTTTTGGAGAGAATTTCGCTATAGGGTGCGTGCGCTCGCCAGACAGACAGAGACATTAGAGACAGAAAGCGAGAAATCACCCCCCAAGGGGGATGGTCACGCCGCAATCCCTTCTCCTCCATTCTCCTCTCGGGATCTTGGGCACGCACGCACACGCGCCTGGCGTGAGTTTTAAGTCACCATGTCCGGGATGCAAACCGTGGTCGACTACGTGGGAGTCCAGCAACATAGCATTTACGCTAACTGCTGGTTCCCATAAATAGAATTCTTTTGCCTAATTAGTGAGATTATCAAACCAGTTTTGATTTATTTCACAATACTGGATTTTGAAATTGTCCACTGCTTCCCAAACTTCCAGTGAATTGCATATTTATCTAAATTTCAACGGAGAGCTTAGTTCTCTCATGTTTGAATGTCTACTTGTAGATGTCTCATTCTGAAATGCTTTTTCATATACTCACTTTTTAAAAAATTTTTTTAAAAATTTGCTATAGGGTGTGTGTACTTGCTAGAGAGGGACAGAGAGAAAGTGAGAAAGTACCGTACAAGGGACGTGGTCATGTGTAAATCCTTCTCCATTCTCCTGTTGGGGTTTAGCGTACTCCTGCACATCTGTCTGACCTGTTTCTCAAGCTGTCAGGTCTGGAACTCAAATGGTGTAATTTGTCATGTGGCATCCAGCTGCTTCAACCACCACACCACCATTGCCCCCTCCCCCATCACTTCTTATTTTACAGTTATTTTTGTGTTTTAAAGGACATTAGAAGTCATCCAGTCTAACCAAATTTGAAAATCATCTGGCTATGACATGTCTAAGGGTATTAAAATATTTAGCTTATTACACATTTTCCCCTTAACTTTCTTATAGGATTTACTGTCTTTATGGAATCTTGGAAGAAAATCTGAGACTAGCCTACTTCTTCTTGCCTTTGAATTGACTTGATCTTTTTGCAAGGTTTTGTTTAAGATTCTTTCTCTTTTATTGTAATTAGCCAGAGGATATATATACTTGCCAAAGAGAGAAAGAGAAAAAGTGAGACAATACCTCCCATTGGGGATGATCACGTCTCAATGTCTTCTCCATTTCTACTTCATTTGGGGACTTGGGGCATGCACGCACACACACGCACCTGTTGTATTTTCAACATAGATTCAGTTGCCTTCACCACACCACCAGTTGGCCCAGATTCTTTATTATTTTTTTCAACTTTAGTAACTTTTTTTGTTGTTGTTTTAGAGAGATTTTTGTTATATGTGTACATATATATGTGTACCCCCCAGGGGGGATGGCCATGCTACCATTCCTTCTTTTCTTGGGATTTTGGGCATGCACGCACATGTGTCCTGCAGGAGTTTTAAGCCGCTAGGTCTGACACTTGAACCATATTTGACTATGCGGGATTCCAGCGACATAACCACTATGCCATCTGCTATTCCTCAACTCTAGTAATTTTATTAGGCTCTCTCTCTATACTGACTTTTCACTGTTACTTTGCTCTTTCACTCCACATACTTGTATTATACCCAGTATACACTTTCAGTGAGTGTCCACGTATTCTTTCATTTAAAGGAAGTTTTAAAATTTTTGTAACATCGTCAGAGGGTGCATGTAATCATCAGAGAGAGAGAGAGAGCACACACAGTTCTCAGTGGGGCATAGTCATGCCACAATCCTTTTGGCTTTGTTTCTCCATCATGTCAGCATTTGGGGCATGCATGTACACGTGCCCAAGGTGTTTTTCAAGCCACCAAGGGCAAGATTTGAACCCAGTGGATCACAGGGGATCCAGCTCTCCCTGTATATGATGCTTAACAGGGCTGGCCATTTTTTCCTTTATTTCTGAACATATTAGTCCTGCTTCATTTCCTGCATGCCCAAGAACTCTAATAATGCATTTGTGATATCTGTGTTACATTTTTTTAATCCTTTCTTCGTAAAAGCTGTTTATTTTGAAATAATTATAGTTTCATAGGAATTTCCTTTGATAATGTAAAGAATTCCCACTTACTCTTCATCCAGTGATTACATGTTACATAAATATAGTACAGTATCCCAGCCAGGAACTTTTGACATGGGTACCATGTGTGGGTGGAGTTCATTGTCATTTTATCACATATATGGATTAACATGTCAAAGATACTGAACAATTCTATCAGCATAGTGGTCTACCTCTTTCTTCACTTCTCTTTCATTTTGCTTACATTTTTACATTTTCAATTTCCAGTTTCCTGACAGTGCTTTGTGCTGTGTTCTTTCCCCTTGTATACTTTCCAAGTTTATCTTTTACTTTTGGTTTTGACATTTAAAAAAATGTATATGAAAGCATTTAATAAAATCTATAAATACTGTATAAAGACTACCATTACTGTGATTTTTCTCCTTCACACTGCCCTTTACTGCAAGAGGAGAGCCAAAATACTGGATTGGGGGCTAGCAGGTGGCATGGTGGTTGGGGTGCTGGACTCCTACATGACCAACTGCGGTTTGAGTCCTGGACTGACCTGGTGACTAGCTTTCTTAATTTCCCTCTCTCACTTTCTCTCTCTGTCTCTCTCTGATGAGCCTTATAGCAAATTGAAAATAAATAATAAATAATAAATAAAATAAATCTTTACAAAAATAATACTGGGTTTGGTGGTCTCACTTTTGTATCTACCTATTACTCTTTTGGTACAACGAAAATATATTCGCTCATTAAGTTTAGTTGAGAGACCTTAGGGGATTACTGAACTTTCTCATGAACTTTGCATATGGTCAGATATTTTGAACGAGAGCATCATATTTGCCTTTCTAAAGTGACTGTGAAATTGGTGAGCTCATTCCTCGTGGTAGACTAAGCCAAGCACTTGCACCTCCACCTTTCTGCCCAGAGCAAAACTTTAGTGAGAAAGTCAGTTTATGAGAGGGTAAGTATGTTCTGAACTAAAATTGCTAGAGAAAGTGATATGAGAGTGATTTTGTGTTGGTAAGTTGTTAAGCATCCGTTTTTTGCTGCCACACTCAATAAAGCAAATATCAGTTGAGATCTGCTCATGGAGAAATATCAGTCAGAATTTTCTCGGGACCAGCAGTTAGCGTAATGGCTATGTCGCTGGACTCTAATGTAGTCGACCAAGGTTCGCGTCCCGGCCCTGGTGGCTTAAAACGCATGCTGGGTGCGTGTGCGTGCGTGCCCAAGATCCTGAAAGGAGAACGGAGGAGAAGGGATTGCGGCATGGCCATCCCCCATGGAGGGTGATTTCTCGCTTTCTGTCTCTCTGTCTCTGTCTGTCTGGCGAGCGCACGCGCCCTATAGTAAAAAAAAAACAAACAAAAAACAAACTTCTCCAAGAAATTTTTTTTCTTCTGTTTAATGTTAACTTTTTTGCGTGTGAGAATGGTTTTATCTGACACATTTTACTGCTCATTAGTATCTTGGTAACTGTCCTAGCTAATTTCTGCTGTTTCACAGAGCTGAATTAGAGCTTCTAAATCAGAACTGCCTTTGAGTCTCCAAATGGCCAGTACCTTGACAATTTTTGGATCCTTTTGTAGTCTGACTCTTGACTGAAATTTTTCTCTTTATTTTTACATGTGTTCTTGCAGTTCACTTCTAATTATTTGAGGTTAAATTAACCTAAACAAATTTGTTCCTGTCAACCAAAGAAGCCAAACTGATATAACACGTCACCTTTGTGACCCAGAACTTTTTTCATGGTATTTCTATGTGTATCTGTGTCTGTGCACACACATGTGCATACTACATGTATACAGTAGCTAAAATAGGCCTGAAACAATTTGGCTAATAATATTTTGTTTCTATTAGTTAGAAACTTCCTAACTAATGGGGCCAGCAGGTAGCATGGTGGTTAAGGACACTGGGCTCCCACGTGACTGACCGTGGTTTGAGTCCTAGACCTGGTGGCTTCTTTCTCACTTTCTCTCTCTCACTCTGTCCCTCTCTGATCAAATTTAAAAAAAAGAAAGGAAGGAAGAAAAAAAGAGAAAGAAAAAGAAAGTTAAATAACATAATTCTTAATATATTGACAATACAGTGGCTTTTGTTTCTTAACTTTATTTATTTCTTCTATCAGAGACAGAGATAGAGAGACAGGACCCCTCAATAGGGTCCCATGCCACAATCCACTCTCACACCCAGCCAGCCTGGATCATGGGTATGTGTTTGAATGCCACTTGTGCCCATGGAGGTCCCGGATGCAATCCAGGACCTCTCCCATGTGGGTCCATTTGTTCCACCACTGTGCCACTACCTCGCCTGTGGCTTTTTCAAAGTTCAAAATTTGAGGGAACCAGCAGTTAGCGTAATGGCTATGTCGCTGGACTCCCACGTAGTCGACCGCGGTTCGTGTCCCGGACCTGGTGGCTTAAAACTCACGCCGGGCGCGTGTGCATGCGTGCCCAAGATCCCGAGAGGAGAATGGAGGAGAAGGGATTGCGGCGTGACCATCCCCCCTGGGGGGTGATTTCTCGCTTTCTGTCTCTAATGTCTCTGTCTGGCGAGCGCACACACCCTACAGTGAAAATCTCTCAAAAAAAAAAAAAAGTTTGAATTTGCATTTTCAGTGTGCCTATCAATTTAGCTGAGTATTTTGAACTTTATGTAAAAAAAAAATATTGGAGTAAAAACCTGTCAGTTCAGGGGCTGAGCTGAAGCTAAGTAGCAGAGTATGCAGGAGGTGTAGAAACTGTTTCCAAAGTTCACTGGACACTGCTCCCTATCCCTGTGCTCCTTTGCTCCGTGACTGTTACCGCCCCTCCTAGAGGCAGTGCGTTTCCCTCTCCTTTCCTTTCCCTGTCTGGGCTGGTGTTCTGTGACAGGTACTGATTGCCGGTATTAGGTAGGAGAAATGTGTGTGTGTAAGTAGATATGAGACCTCACTACTTATTACTTCATGATCTCCTTTTATAAAAACACTTAATGTATAATAAACATCTTTCTGAGCCAAAGGAGAGTTTTCAGAGTTATTTTTAGTTATTTCTTCCATGAGCGGCACAGAGAAAGGCACTCCTTGACTCACCAGCCTGGGTCATGGACACGTGCATACACTCCCAAGTGCACAGGGAGATCCTGGGCTGGGATGTGAACCTAGGATCTTTCCCATGAGAGTCCAGATGTGTCACCACTGTGCTGCCACCTGGCCTCCAGTAGTGTGATTTTTAATGGCTATGTAATTTTTTGTGTATTCTATAATAATTTCTATAACCTAGTTTCTTCTGCGTGATAATTAAGTTTTGTTTTTTTTTTTTGGATTGTGCTCACCAGAGAGATAGAGAGATGGAAGGAGAGAACACCCTGTATTGGGGCATGGTCACACTGTCATTCCTTCTCCATTTCTCCATCCTTTCAGGGTTTCGGGCACACATACACATGTCTAGTGTGTTTCTCAAGCTACTGAGACTGGGATTCAAACTGCAGTTGGCTATGTGAGATCTGGAGTTCCTAAACTACAAAGTTACTGGGCTGGTTTGACATTCAAGATTTTCTATTTTGTTGTTAGTGATGTGATAATGTACCCTTTTTGTGAAGTCTTTAACGTTTTTTCTTATGATAAATTCCTAGGTGTATAATACTGAGTTCAAGGGGCTTTTGTTGATATGTGTCACTTAATTGCTTAACTGAAAGTTGTCCCACTTTATTTTCCTGCCAGTGGCGAGTTATTGTTCCATTCTTTTGTCTTCATCTGTTTTTTTGTTTGTTTTGTGCCCCACCCCCACCCCCCCGTCTTTGCTATTTGAGGACAGGAATATTTACATGGGCTCCTAATCAAGTATTCAATAATTTTTTACTCACTGAAGAGCTGGTGTTGTTATGTGTCTGTATGTGGTATTTTTTAATGAAAATATTCCATTCAGTAGGAGTATAATTTATAAATTTAAATTTAGATAAGTCAATGTAAGCAAGGCATCTCTGGTTAAATTATTTACAAGATTGTGGGCAAACAGGAATGGTTTTGGGTTAATGTAGGTAATGTTAAGTAAGAGAATGGATCATTTTAATCCTTGGGTATTTTTCTCTGTTTTAGGTGTGCTTCAGAGCCTTTGGGTTCCACAGCTGATCCCAAGAAGCCACCATATGACAGTGAATCGTCCCAGCTGGCACATTCACGTGCTAGTTTGAGCAGGCTGACTTACGTGTCTGAACAAGAGAGCACCTATCCTGCCACAGCAACAGATTATGACCCAGAGGACCGCAAGGTGGGCTGGCACGTGGTCTATTTTTTTAGTGAGACTTGCAGCTATGAATTGTTATAGGTGTTTTATCAGACTGAAGTTCAGGCATGTGTAACTTCTGTGTTGCCATTATGCCTTTAAAATGAATCTGTGTTTGTGTATGTACATACGTCCTCAACAGCTACTCATGCTGGGTGTACACTTGAGGTACAGACATTTTAATATCTGCCTCAGATCTCTGATGGAAGACACCATGTAGTGACATCCACTACGATGCGCATATGTTGTGAAAATTCAGGAGGTAGCTAAAAATCTGATTGCAAGAGGTGTGAGAAGTGTTTTAGCAGAGGCTTATGGGAGGAATAATATATTGAAACCATACTTTCCAGGACTTCTAGGAGTTAAACAGGGAGGAAGCAGTGGTAAATGGGGGAAGTGTGGAATTGACAGTCGTACTGAAATTAGGTTAGAAAGGGAAGGACCAAACCATGAAGAATCTTGGATATAATATCTGGGGGTTTGAATGCTTTTAAGGAAGACACTGATATAATTGGTTTTTATTTATTATTATTATTTTTATTCATGATAGAACTTGTGCTTGTGTATGTGGGGGGCTGGGGTGAGGCAGGTAGGAGCACCCTCTGGAGGATTTGGTAATACTGCATTCTTCTTTCTCTAGCCTTTCAGATAGTGAGTCCTTAGCACATGCTTAGTATGTTTTCAGACTGACCACGTTGGAGATTCAACTGTGAAATCTGGTTTTCTTGAGTGCATTGCCACTGTGCTGCAAAATCAGACCTGTTTTGAATTTTTTTTCCCCCTAAATTAAGGTTTTTGCTTGTGCTTGTGAGAGACGAAGGGAAAGTGAGAAATCACCCCCTGGGGGGATGGCCATGCCACAGTCCCTTCTCCAAATTTCCACGTGGGATTTTGGGCATGCACACACATGAGCCTGGCGTGATTTTCAAGCCAGTGGGTGCATAGCTTGAACCATGGTCGGCTATGGGAAGTCCAGCACCTTACCACTACACCACCTGCTGGCCCTGTTTTGAAGTTTTAAAAACTCGCTCCAGGAACCAGCAGGTGCTTTCTCTGTCTCTTTCTCTGGTGAGTTCACATGCCCTATAGCAACTTAAAAATTAATTAATTAATTAAGAATTCTTTTAAAATTTTTTAAGAAAAGCTCACTCCAGTAGCAGTGTGGCACATGGTTTGGGGGGAGCAAGATAAGAACCAGAAGATTTGACATGAGGTTATTGTAGTCTTTCAGACAAGAGACCATGTCAGCTTGCACTCAGGTAGTAGGTGGGAGAGTAGAAGAATAGAGCTGAGAGATTTATGTGGGAGAAGCTAATATTTTACTATCCATTTGTGTGTGCGTATTTTGTGGTTGTGACAGTATGAAGTTTTCTAATGAGCTGAATCTGACTGTTGTGGATTGACGTCTCCTTAGGTCTCCTTCATGGGGCTATTAAGTATGTGCACTGGAGTTACTAAATACGATGCGGTGTTAGAAAGACGTTATGCCCATTCCGTGGAGAGCCATCTTCCTGACTCTGTTGTTAGTGAGCCTGTATATTCTTAGCATAGTGGTTAAGAGCTGAGTTTTGGAATCACACAGCCTGTTCTCTGCTACTCCTCAAACAGATTACTAAACCTGTTTCTTCATCTCTGAGGAGGAATGGTGTGAGGGCATTGGTTGTCACCTAATAGGTCACACCTGAGTACGTATTATTTGTTGTGGTTATTAAGTGGCAAATAATCTGATCTTTGTTTAATGCCTTTGTTTCCTAAAGCTTTGATTCTGGAGAAATTTCCAAACTGAGTTCCAAAAACAATCAGTGATGGCTAAGTATCTTACCTTGTATGTAAATTCTAGCTCGTCCATCCTGCAGAGCTGTGCATGTCACCCCTCAGGTCATGTGTTATAAAGAAATGAGTTTATCAGCCTTCAGTAGGACTATCGTGTCACACCTAAGAAAATAGGACCAAGCAAATTCAGAAATCAAGAAAGACTTTATACACATAAAAGTTAGCATCTTCACATCTTCAGCTGTGTAGACAAACAGTAGGGGTGGGAGGACTTGGGAACTGGCTCTGTGTTGATTCCCAGCCTCATCTCAGTATCATTTGAAAGCTTGCTTGGTCTCTAATCATTCGTTGCTATTTTATTTATATTTTTATTACAAAATTTAAAAAAGTAAATCGCTTAAATTTGGAAAATCTTACATGACTATGGTCCTTTATCTGTGTGAAATTTTCACATATAATTGATGTATATCTCTTACTCATTTTCTCATAATTTCTTTTATAAAACAATGAATGGTGGGACTGGCAGGTAGCTTGGTGGTTAAAGGCACTGGAATCCCACATGACTGACCATGGTTAGGATCTCAGCCCTGGCAGCTTGCTTTCTCATTTTCTCTCTCTCCCTGTCTCTCTCTCTGGTTAAATTAAAAATAATATTCATAAAGCTAAATAAAATAATTATTTTTAAAATTTATTTAACTTCTATTTATTTATTTATTTAAATTTGCTTGGGAAGACAGAGAGAGTGAGAAAGCAAGCTGCCAGGTCCAGGATTCAAACTGGTCAACCATGTGGGAGTCCAGTGCCCTTAACCATCTTGCCACCTGCCAGCCCCAATAAAATAATTCTTAAAAACATAAAACTGTAAGTGCAAAGTTCGAGCAGAAGCCTGCATTTCACAGCTGCAAAACCCCTTTGTATAAGCCAACTCTCTTTCATAGGAATAATATCAAGTATATTTCTTCATTACATTACTTGAGATTATGCCAGCATGGTTTGAATTTGTTATATTCAGTTTATCTGTGAATTATTTCTTAAAAGTTTTTGTTTTTTTTCTACTTGTCACACTCAGAGTGGTATTACCAGTGAGTTGAGCACCACAATTATTCAAGCCAGTCCAGCTCCGTTGGAGGAACAGGCTGTGGAAAAGTTGAGAGACAAAGTTCTGTTTCAAAGTAGAGGAACATTATCATGTATTCTCCAGAACGACTCTGATATGAAAACTGTGACTGAAACTACCTCTCTGAGTAGCAAACCCGAAGATGTAATACCTAAGTTTAAATTGAGTACAGATTCTTCCTCAAAAAGTCAAGATCCGTTAGAGAGCAGCAGGGTAGGTTTGTCATCGAATCCCAGTGAATTGGACCCAATCAGTCTGGCTGCCATGAGCAAGGCAGGTCAGAGCCATCATGCTGAGGAAGTCATACCGCCCCTTTCTGTGTCACATCAGGACTCTATTATGGAAGGTCAAAGACTGTCTTCTAAGCATATGTCAACTTCCAGCAGTGAATTCAGTGGTCAAATTCCTAATCGAACCACCTCTGGAAACCATGGCACCTCTGTTCCCAGCCTTGCAGTTCATGGTCCTGCTGCCGAGATACCGAATGTGCCTGCTGCGGTACCAACACTCCTGACTCGACATTCTCTTAGCACAGCTCCCTTTGCCCGGCAGTATCTGGGAACACTCCCTTCAGCTGGAAATGTCACTTTGCCTCAGTGCCATATTGGCAGCACCGCTGGCTTGGGGTTTTCAGGAGGGTATCCTTTTCCTGCTGTCTTAGGAGAGCATGTTCAGAATTCTGTTGCTGTGGGCATTTGTCTAGGACCCAATGTCAGCTCTGGATTGATGGGTACCTCTTCCTTTAGTAACCCATATTCTAATGCCTTAAATCAGAACCTGCCAAATACAGCAAACCCTTTTCCCGTGCAGTCTTTTGGTACAAACTGTGGAACTGAACCATGGGATTCAGGATTTGGTAAGATGCTTTTCCTCTGTTATTATTGTTGTCTGCTCTTATTTAAAAGTTGAATTAATTTTTTTCAAATAGACCACAAAGCTAGTTTGTTTCAAAGAGATACTGGTTGTCCTTAATTTCTCGTAGAGTTATTTTTTTGGTCCTTAATTGAAAACACAATAATATATGTCTGTCAAGGGTTTCCAAAGTTGACTTTGAAAAACATTAAAACTTACTCGGATAAAGAGCTCCCTTTGTCTTTTTCTTCATAATCTTTCTTTTGCTCTGCACTTGGGTTTTGTTATTCTTTCTTTTCTAATTTTCCAGAGGGCCCATGTGTGTGTGGGGGGGGGTGGGAGGAGAGAGAGAGAGAATCTCCCGTGATGGATGGTCTTGCTGCAGCCTCTTCTCCCTCCTTTTGCGATTTTGGGCATACACACACACACACACACCCAGCATGCTTTTCAAGCCACTGGGGCTGGAGTCGTGTAGTTGGCCATGTGGGCTTCAGCTGCCCCAACCACCATTCTACCAGCTGTCCATTATTCTTTCTACCAAGAAATGTCCAGATTTGAGTCAGATGCCAGGACGAGTGAGTCATCTTCCACCTTTCACCAAGTCAGTGGGGTGACTGCTATGGTCCTGAGAGCCAGCTCTTCCTCTCTCAGCTGTGGGAACTGGCTCCATCTCACCGGTGGGCACTGTGCTTTTCCTGACATGGTACACATACCCACTGCTTGCTGTCTTCTTGTTTGGCCTCTAAAGTAACTACGTGAGGATGGGGAAGAGATTGGTGGTGGTATCACAAATCTGAGTAGGTGTGCACATCTGGAGAGTTAAGAGCCCCTGTAGTTTCTTTTTTGTTTAGGATAATGGCTTATAATTTGTGAGAGAACAGGGAAGAGATTACTAACTGCCAATAATATCAAAAAGTTGAATAGATCTAGTTGTGATGCCACAAGCTGCTGGGACCTGTGCTCCATAGGTTGGACCCACGTGGGAGGTCTAGGTTAGATTTCTGGTCCAGCATAAGGCTAGGTGCAGTGTGTACCTATAATCCCAGCAAAGTGGAGGTGGGGGGTGCTGAGGCAGGAGGATTACAGTACAGCGAGGCCCTGTCTGGGGAAAAAGCAAAAAGAGTCAATTAGGTGTAAATTGTGAGTAAGAGGAGTTTTCTTTTTGTTTTTTTCCCCCTGAGCTGGATGGAGCAGGAAGACATTGTTGGCAGGCTTCTACTGAGGCTTATATAATGTCAAGGACATAGCTGGGGCACTGTATGATGTCTTGGGTATAAATACATAGTCATATATAATAACTTCCATCTTTCCAATTCTGTTTTTAATTAGGTGTTTGATATAACTTGCATTTTGACTATGCCTTGTTCTCACTCAGGGAATGTGAGAGTGCCTGAGGAACTAAAGTTTCCACATGCTTGCTGTGTTGGCATTGCTTCACAAACCCACCTCAGTGTACTCAATCCAATTGACCGTTGGGTACAAGTCAGCATTGGGGTGGTTAGTGTTAGCATTAATGGTGAAAAGGTAAGCTTTCTGTTTTCCTCATTTCACTTAATTCCATCATGACTGAGTGTATAATTTCTCCTTTCTGTTTGCCCCCCCCCATCTTTTTTTTTTTTTTTTTGAGAGGTTTTCGCTATAGGGCGCGTGCGCTCGCCAGACAGACAGAGACATAGAGACAGAAAGCGAGAAATCACCCTTCAGGGGGGATGGTCACGCCGCAATCCCTTCTCCTCCATTCTCCTCTCGGGATCTTGGGCATGCACGCACACGTGCCCGGCGTGAGATTTAAGCCACCGGGTCCGAGACGCGAACCGTGGTTGACTACATGGGAGTCCAGCGACATAGCCATTACGCTAACTGCTGGTTCTCCCCCTCCCCCATCTTTATACCATGCCTTAGTCATGAATGCTGTATTTTTATTGGTCTCATTTTTATTTGTGGTACGCTATAAGAAGTGAAGCCTAAATGTGTTTTGTATTTTCTGTTAGATATATTATTATATACTATTTTTTAAAAGAATTATTTAATTAATTTATTTATTAACTTATTTTAATTTGACCAGAGGGGGACAGAGAGAGAGAGAGAGAGAAAGTGAGAAAGCAAGTCAGCAAGTCCGGGACTCAAACCATGGTCCACCATGTGGGAGTTCAGTGCCCTTAACCTCCACGCCACCTGCCGGCCCCCAGATATTATTATTTACTGTTAATAATAACTTATTTCATTCTTTATTCACATAGTCATCTAAATTTGCTTTTAGTGCTGCTATTTGAATCACTGAGGGACCGGCAAGTGGCATCATGGTTAAAGGCGTTGGCCTCCCACATGGCCTATTGTGATTTGAGTCCTGGACTTGGCAGCTTGCTTTCTCATCTTCCATCTCTCTCTCTCTCTCTCTCTCTGTCCCTATCTGGTCAAATTTTAAAAAAAAAGTTAAATAAAATAATTCTTTAAAAAATATCACTGAAAGCTCTGAGTAGAAACTTGTCTCTACTTGTTCACTTTGTTTAATGTAGTTTAATATAAGTACTATCATTTATCCAAGAAAAAAAAGAAGAGAAAAAAAAAAGCTTCCCAAGAAGTTATTCTTGGTATCTGTACTTCATTTAGGAAAGGGAGTCATAGTACTAATTTATTTAATGATTTTCTTATATGATCTTTTGTAATACCTGAAAATATAGTTTTAACATTAATAGTTATAGCAAGAGTTTCACATGATCAGTTATAGCTGCTGTAATCTAAGACTAAATCTCCTTCCCTAAACATGGACCATGTGAATATCAGTGCTGGGGCGGGGTGGGAAATACGGCCAGCAGCTCCTGTTTGGAAACGTCCTGGTTTCACAACTGCTTCTTGCGAACCAACACTGGTGGATGGATTTAACTCTTTCCTCTTATCTCCTAGTAGGTACTTGGAGGTATTTACTTGGCAATATTAAGATCATCCCTGCCCTACCTCTTCCTTTTCCTAGCTTGTTTCTTCACTTTCAGTTCCCCAGGTTAGGTGAAAATCACATGATTGGAGGAAAGGGTGGAGGATGGAAGGTGAAATGTGAGGACTTTTTAGGAACATCTAGGAGTCTGTGAATGAAATAGTGTTAACTCTGGAAGTGGGAAGTAGAAAAAAGATCTCTATTTACAGTGAGGAGGGAGAGGTAGTTGGAGTCATAATCACAAACTTGGGAGCCTGTGGAGAGAGAACCTTAGAGATCAGCCTAATTCTCTTGTATCTGCTTTCTTATGTAACTGCAGAAACTATACCCTAGAGAGAATCCCAGGGCTGTGAAGTGCTGCTGCTTCTAGTGGCTTTAAATATATATATATATATATTTATCTATTTATTTACCATTTCCATGAGAGAGAACTCCAACAGGTCTTCATGCAGTGACCCACTCTCATCCTCAGCCAGCTCAGATTGTGGACATGTGCACGCCTGTGTGTGCCCCTGGTACATGCCACGAGGCCCTGGGATCTTCCCATGTGGGTCCAGTTGCAATCCCACTGTACCACAGTGGCCAGGTCCCACTGGTTCCCCCTAATGCCCCCCTTTAAAAAAGATTTATTTAATCTGATTTATTATTATTATTATTTTAATATGCTATAGGGCACATGCACTCATCAGAGAGAGAGATTGGAAAAGTGAGAAAGCAAACTGCCAGGTTCAGGACTTGATCCACATATTAAATGTGTCATAACTTTTCCAGCAACCCAATAGATGAGGGAGATCACATTTTATGCAGTGAGAACAGCTCAATTTACAAAGCATTTTGACTAATTGTACTTTACATATAGTTAATGATTTATAAGATTTGAATGATTTAGAAGAGGTAATAAAATGTTTAGATTTGAGTAACTGGGAAAAGGCTCTTTAACCTAGATGACTCTACCCCTTGATTTTCAATGTGAAGTTATTTCTTAATAAGTTCCATGCTTCTGTTTTAAAGGTGGATCTTTCAACATACCCTTGTTTAGTTTTCAAGAATAAAGTCATTATAAGACCTCATGCCACAGAAGACATAAAAGTACTTTTTATACCATCTGGTCCTGGGATCTTCAGATGTATATTCAGTGTTGCCTCTTGGCCATTTTCAGCAGATGCTGAGACAATAGTACAAGCAGAAGCTTTGGCAAGAAGAGTCATTCTCACTGCTCTTGCTGAGACCCCTGTTATTGAGGTAACTATTATAAGAGTTTTTGTCATACTGGGCATTTTAATGAAGCGATTTAACCTTAGAAGTAATAGTTGGGGAAAAATGAATTGGTGAGCAAATGTGCCACAAAGTTAGTTTCAAGCTAAACGTTGCTTTTTAATATCTAATTATTCTAAAATTTCAAATTATTTCCATTATTTTACAGAAACAAAAATGTACTTGCTAAGATGTCTATAAAGCAAAATATAAGGTTAAACCCTATTTTCTAACCAATTTTTATTGTATAATTAGCTATAAAGTTAGGAAGGTAACAGTGGTTCATATACTCTTGCTTCTTTTCTGTACCTTAAGATTAGAAACATTTATCTTCTTTATAGTCCCCCATTTTCTGGAAGTGGAAGAAGTTAGAGCTAACCTAATTGATATAATAATTACTCATTGAATTAGATAATACTTGTTTAAGACCATGACTTTCAACCCTGACTGTGCATTGGTATAACTCTTGGGACTTTTAAATGCACTCTAATAATATCTGAGTCCCACCCAGACTGACAACTAAATGAGAATTGTTGGTGACAATGAGAAAACATAACTACATAGCAGTAATTTTTAAATCTTCCCAGATGATACAGATTACAGCCTTAGTTAACCAGTGCTTTACAGTGTCTCCTCCTGACTGATGATGAAATCAGAAGTCATGCGTCAAACAAGACTAAGGGATGTGGGAGAGAGAGATGAGAAAGGTATAAACAGGAAAAACAGACTAGTGCTTCCTGATTAAAATTAGTTGATTCCTTATATGTGAATTAACCTGATATGTTCATTTAACTACAGTTAGCAGGTAGTACTGAGATCCTACTAAAGTTAATTTGTTGTTTGAACAATGCTGTTTAACTGACTCACAGCTCAGAGGTGGGGTGTCGGGGATGGGGGACCTAGAAGCCCCCTAGGAGGCTGATGAGACACGTTCAGGTTCCCATACCTCACCCCTGCACAGTACACATTCCCCAGTAACTGCTTAGTAACTGTGCTCTACAGCTTTATTATCTAAGACAGCAAGGAGGTAAGAGTTTGTAGATGTTCTCATATTATAAGCTCTTAATGATCTTTTTCTTTTTGCTTAAGTGCTGATTTGTGTACTTGGATTTTTTAATCAGCTCTGTTATGCTCGTCATTCTCTAGTGCAGGGTTTTTCAACTTTACCACTGTTGGCCTTTGGGCTATAAAATGATTTGGAATGGGGTAACTGACTTGTGTAGTGTAGGATGTTTAGCATAAGCATCCTCTGACCTCGACCCACTAAATGTCAGTGGTTCCCCTTCTCCTAGTGGTGAGAACCAAATTATCTGCAGACATCGTCAGATCACCCCTGGTTGAAAATCTACTGAGAACTAGTGTCATTTATTTTCTGTATTTCAGTACATTCTACTATACCAGGCTTTTAACCTGCCATTAAGCAATTAACATTTCTGTAGCAGACATGAAAAGTCCCTATTACAGAATATTTAAATGTGGCATGGGAGCTTGAAGCTTGGTTTTTCTCTTTGTTTCTCTCTGATGAATGTCGTGAATGGCTTACATAAGTGATATTTAGTAGTACAAGGCAGTGACTCCCATTTTTCTCACCTTGGGGTTCCTATGCCTGGTGCGGCCAGGCCCAGCCTTTCACATTCTTGCTAATGATCTTTCCATGCTCACCCATGTTGTCCGTGTTCCAGGTTTTTTGTTGTCTCCCCAGTGGTTGAGCAGATTTTTTTCATTTCTCTTCCTGCTTCTACAAAGGGCACTTCTTTGCATTTTAGGACTTTACGCATGGGATTCAAATTCCATTCCAGCCTTGCCCTGCTCACAAGTTCGAGATTTTCCCTTCCATTCTCAGAAGGACATTGCATCTCAGCCACCTTGGGGAGGTGAATCTGGGAGTAACCCCAGACTTTCATGTGCCACCATGGAAATCAGTTCCCACTTGTCAGTCAGCCTCTGATTTATCTTTATTTTATGTTTGTCTTGGGGAAAAAAATTTGTTTGTGTGCGTTACATTTCTTCATTTGTGGGTGTGAGGGATCTGTGTTTTCTTGGTGTCCTGTGTTTAACGAAGTCAGCCTGGCAATTAGGCACTTGTTTTGAACTTTCAGTTTATCTATTTTGATATCACTCTGAAGAGTTTTAGTATTTCAGATGTTTAGATTAATTTTGAAAATATCAAGATATTCTTGATATTTTTGGAGGAAATTGAGAAGTCAGTATTCTAAGACCTCATTGAATGAAGATTTATATATTTTATAAACTTGCCTCTATCTTTTTTTAAGATATAATTACCTTTTCAAAGTAGCTGCAGCTAGTTTGCAGCTATTATCATCAAAAGATCACTTTCCATTTCCAAATTGTATCCCTTAAGTGTTTTGCTTCTTTTTCCTTTGATTTCCTCTCTCTTACCCTCCCCCATTTCCCACCCTCCTCCCAAACTGCCTCTGGTTCCACAGTTGCTGTCCATGCCTTTGCACTGTCCAGTCTTTCAGTTTCTGCCATAGAGCACAGATACTCAGTATATGTTTAGTGGGGTTATAGAATACCTCTCTTTCTTTGTCTGGTTTGCTTTGCTTAGCAGTAAATCTTCTGTATTGGTCAACTTTCTATCAAATGCTAGGATCTCTTTGTTTTTTGTGGCTGAGTAGTGTTCTGTAGTGTATGTGTGCCTCAGTTTTTCAAAATATTCATCTGTTCATGGATATTTGGGTTAGTTCCTAGTCTTAGCAATTGTGAATAATGTTGCAATAAACATGGATGTGCAAGTATTTTTCTCACTGAGTGCATTCCTGTCTTTTGGGTAGATAACTAGGAGTGGAATTGTTGGATCATATGTTAGTTCTATTTGTAGATCTTTGAGGAACGTCCATATTGTTCTCCACAGCGGCTGTACTAATTTACGTCTCCACCAACAGTGTAGGATAGTTCTCTTTCACCACAGCCTCGCCAGCACTTATTTCTTTTTTTTTTTTAATATTAACTTAATTCTGACTGGGAGAGTTCTTAGTGAGTTGTCTGTGCGCCTCATTTGCCCATCTTTTAATTGGGTTGATAATTTTTTTGTTAAGTTGCTTGAGTTCTCTGTATATTCTGGTTATCAGTCAATATCTTTGAACCCATATATAGTATATTTAGGATGGAAAAATGCATTTGGTATGCTGTAATGATATAAAGTGATTGAATATTTAAAAAATAAAATAGAAAAGGTTTTTAAAAAAATAATGAAATATTATGAATTTGATGCCAATAAATTTGACAACTTAAAAAAATTAAATTAAAAATACATTATTTACATATCACTCTAAAATGAAATACATAGGTATAAATCTAATAAAATATGTATAAGAGCTATGATGACAATTACAAAACTCTAATGAAAGAAATAAAAAAAATAATTAATGAAGAGATGTCCCGTTTTCATGGTTAGGACAACTCAAAATGTCCTATCTTTCTAACTTGATCTATAAATCTAAGACAGTCCCAATCAAAATCTTAGCGAGTTGTTCTGTGGGTATCAACAGACAAATTGGAAAGTTTGTATGAAGAGGGAAATGACTCAGCACAGCCAACACACTACTGGAAAAGGAGAAATGAGTCAGAGGACTGGCTCTATTTGACTTCAAGACTTACTGTAAAGCTATAGTAATCAAGACAGTGCGGTATTAGTAAAAGAATATACAGATAGATGAATTGAAGAAAATAGAGACCTCAGAAATGAAAAACTAACTGCACCTAACATAATAGAAGGAAGAAAGCAATAATGATAAAGCCTTACTTTTTAATCTCCAAATGGAATGTAGTAATAGTATTGACCTTATAGGCCTGGTGGAAGAAATAAATGACATGAAGCATATTAAAAAAAAAAAGATATTGCGTCATTCTTTGGCATATTTGGGTATGTACACTACTTCAAAAGAAGAATTTGACATTTATTTTTGTTGAAAATAAGCAGTTGTAAAACAGCCTGGGAAAGTGTAGGTTTACCTTTAATGTTGACTCTTAATTTTTTCCTAAAATAAGGCAGTGATAGGAACATAATAAGCTTGATATATGCTAATAAATAGCATTTTATGAATCAGTTCTTTCTTTTGTAATTAGGTAGAAACAGGAAAAAAGGATGTTCTTGATTTTGGTGACTTGACTTACGGAGGCTGGAAAGCTCTCCCACTAAAACTGATAAACAGGACACATGCCACTGTACCAATCAGGCTGAGTATTAATGCTGTAAGTATTAACATACAGTAAGAAACTATTTACAGGCTACAGTGATTTGGTATCATAGACACTACTAATCTCCCACTCTTGGTTAGTTTTTCTTGGGAAAGTAAATTTTTTTTAAGGATTCCATGATCATGTCTAATATTGGACTGTTGACTTTACTGAAACTGATCCTTCTATTTCTGAGCAGAATGCCATAGCCTGGCGCTGCTTCACATTTTCCAAGGAGCCCGTCCATGCTTCGTTGAAAGCTGCTCCTTATGCTGATGTGATTGCTCAGCTGGCGGCCCCGTCTGTGGTCAGCCACGTGATGTCTGCCAGTTATGACGGACAGGTAGGCTGAATGGGATGGAGATCTGGCAGATTTTCTTTCATTAAGGTTTCATTCTTGGTGCCATTATACATTAAAAATACATTTTTTTTTTTAATTTTATAGGATCCAGAATTTCTGATCATTTGGGTTCTTTTCCATAGTCCAAAGAAACAAGTCTCTTCTTCAGGTATCATGTTTATATTTTATAGGAATTACTTTATACCTTAAATAAACTACAAATTTTAAGTTTATACTACTTCTGTCAATAAATGTGAATACCTTGAGTAATTTGTCAAGTATTTTATGTTTTGAGAATGAGTGAGGAGGCATGCTGTTTTGGGTCAAACTTGTTAGGTAGCTATGGGTAACCTGAGCAAGTACCCCTAAGAACCTTTTAGGATAGTTTCTCTTAATTGATCATATCATGTTGACCAGTAGATGTTTTCTTTCTTTTGCCACCTTCTCATCCACTCATTTCTGTTCCTGCCTTAATTTTTTTCCTTTTCCTTTTTTTTTTTTTAAGAGGTTTTTACTATAGGGTGCGTGCGCTCGCCAGGCAGAGAGAAACAGAGACAGAAAGCGAGAAATCAGCCCCTCAAGGGGGATGACCACGCCACAATCCCTTCTCCTCCATTCTCCTCTCGGGATCTTGGGCACTCATGCGCATGTGCCCGGCGTGAGTTTTAAGCCAACCGCAGGCGACTACATGGGAGTCCAGCGACATAGCCATTACGCTAACTGCTGCTCCTTCTGCCTTAATTTTTATAAAAATCTTCTTGCTCAAATTTTCTTGTGATCCCCTAAGGATGTTTTGTTGTAATGATGTCGTTTAGAATTAAATAACTCTCATCTCTGAACTAAAAGAATGAATTCTGTAGATATTCTAGACTCAGCAGAAGAATTCCTGGCGAGAGTTGATGTAGAAGTTGACAGCCCCAGCCCTACACCAGTTCTCAGGAGTGTTGGTCTCCGAGCACGGGCAGGAACGGCGAGGATACATGCTCCAAGGGACTTGCAGGTACTCTTGACTCTCTTCTTTACCCTTACTGTTTTGTACAGGTAGATTTCACCTTAATGTGGCAATTTTTTAAGTGCCTGTTTTGTCGCATCCTCTAGACTGTACACTTACTAGCCAGTGTGGATTCCTCGACAAAGCAGCACCTGCCTTTGAAAAACGCTGGGAATATCGAAGTTTATTTAGATATCAAGGTAAAAATTTTCATCAGAGTTCTATAAATAGTCTTTGCTTAAACTGTGAGAGTTCCTCTCCTTCTAAAGGCTGCTGTGCTGCTTGTTCTGTCAGAGTGCTGTCAGGACCAACTGACAGAAATTTAAAGACTAGGTAGTGCACTGGTGTGAACTACATGCTGTGGCACTTGAACTTTGAAGTCTGATGCTTGAATGTAACAAGCTAGTTGTAAGGTAGTTCCTGGAGCATGTGTATGTCATCCAGTGGCTGGGCTGGAACTGGAGAAGAGCGACTCACATGGAGTCTGAGACCGTGAGTGAGTGAAAGGGCGGCAATGGATAGGAACTGGGCATGAGGTGGGAGATAAGGTTTATTTTGGAGGAGGAGGGAAGGAAAAATACCCTTTCCAAGAGAATAAGGCAGAACGGGTCAGTGATGGATGAGGAGGAAGGGACGGATAACTTGTAGTAAATGAGTGAGGCATATGTGACCAAGAGGACCTGGGTGAGAGCCTTGTTTAGTTATGATCTGGTAACTGTTTAGGTTTCAGAACAAGGAAGTCACTTTTCAGTAGACCCAGAGAATCTGTTTCTTCAACCTGGAGAAGAGCATGAAGTTATAATTTCATTTACTCCAAGGGATCCGAAAGATTGTGAGGAAAGGTAATATAAAAATGTTTATAATGTCAAGTTTTTATTTATCTCTTTTTTTTTTGAGAGGTTTTTCACTATAGGGCGCGTGCGCTTGCCAGACAGACAGAGAGAGAGATAGAGACAGAAAGCGAGAAATCACCCCCCAGGAGGGATGGTCACGCCGCAATCCCTTCTCCTCCATTCTCCTCTCGGAATCTTGGGCACGCACGCACACGTGCCCGGTGTGAGTTTAAGACACCGGGTCCGGGACGCGAACTGCGGTCGACCATGTGGGAGTCCAGCGACATAGCCATTACGCTAACTGCTGGTTCCCTCAAGTTTTTATTTATCTCTTAAAACAGCCACTCATTTAGATGTGCTCATCACAACCTGAGTGATAAAGTATGCATTTTATTTCACTTAGTAATTATATAGCTTCATTTACCCTCTTTCACTTATCTTTTTGTTTTCTTTTTGTTACTGACAATTTCCTTTTAATCTGCTAAATAGAAATTGGGGCTGGCGGGTGGCATGGTAGTTAAGGGTGCTGCATGCACTCCCACATGGCAGACCGGGGTTTGAGTCCTGGACCTGGCGGCTTGCTTTCTTACTTTCCCCCCTCTCTCTTTCTCATCCTGTCCCTCTCTGGTCAAATTAAAATTAAAATGAAATAAATAAATAAATAAATAGAGTTAAATAAAAATAATTCTTAAAAAAAAAAGCCATGCTTTAAAAAAAGTCCGATAAATAGAAATTAAGAAATTTACTATATGTATATGTGTGTGTGTGTGTGTGTGTGTGTGTGTGTGTGTGTGTCACATATATATATATTCTGATAAAAGTAAATAACAAGGTATCAGTTTTGGTGTTTCTCATTATCTTTTTCTCTCAAGAAACCATTAGTTGACCTTGTCAGTTGTTGATTTAGGGTACTTTTCCTTATCCCGTCTTCAGTCCTGTGACTTTTTGGCACCCAAGTCATAAAGTGAATATCTATGTATAGTTGGGACACTATTGTCATTAGTGCTTGAACTTACATGCATAAACCTAGCTTAAAACACACTGTCCTCTGAGACACATTTGACTTATACCACTGCCTGGGTTACAGAATGCCTTAGGGTGCTCTTACGACCTTACAGAAGAACAGGAGAGTCTGGTCTTTACCACTATAAATTCTTGTGCATAGAATGCTTCCCTCCTCCTTCTCCTTTCCTTGACTCTTTCCAAATCCCTCATTTGTAAATAGTATTCCCATATCACCATGAACTTCTCACTTCTCCCCATGTACATGTTGGTATAATGATCTCTTTTCTTGTCTGTATTCCTCTTTGGAATATAAGCTCGAAGGGTGGGAATATCTTTATATCTTCAGCACCTAGCTCAGTCTCTTGGATAAAGGAAGCATATAGGAAAAAGTTGCCAGAGGACTTGAATACAGAACATTCAGATGGATTGATTTTCTTTTTTTAGGATTTTGAAAATTTTTGTGCAGCCATTTGGACCTCAGTATGAAGTAGTGTTAAAAGGTGAAGTAGTTTCTTCAGAAGATAAGCCTCTGTCACCTGGATCTTGCTGCTCGGACATTCCACCAATTTTGTCCAACAAGCAGTTTCTGGCTTGGGGAGGTGTCCCTCTTGGTAGAACACAGTAAGTATGTATAGAGCAGCTTGGGCTATCAAGGTGTGAAAGACAAGCCTCATTTACTGAGTGTCCCATTTATACACAACTTACACTATAACTGATCTTATTCATTAAGTTAAAGGCAAAAAAATATAAAAAAGCTGAGTAAAGAGCCATAACCATTTTGTGTTGATCCTGACAGAATTTTCCATCCTGTGATAAAATTTGTAACAAATTCTTAACGCGGTAGAAGGACTGTTCATAAAGTCTAGCCACTTCCCAAATACTGTACCATTCTGAAATCACACTTTTAGCACAGCAAAAACAAAATTAGGCTTCCTTTTGCCAAGAACCACCCTCTTCCAGTAATTAACCAAAATGACGACCACAAAGGGCAAGAGGAGAGGCACCTGATATATGTTTTCTAGGTTTTTTAGAAAACGTGGAGTAGTTCCTTTGGCAACATATATGTGAACCTATAAGAAAGGTGATATAGTAGACATTAAGGGAATGGATACCGTTCATAAAGGAATGCCCCATGAATGTTACCATGGCAAAACTGGAAGAGTAGTCTACAATGTTACCCAGCATGCTGTTGGCATCCTTGTGAACAAACAAGTTAAGGGCAAGATTCTTGCCAAGAGAATTAACATGCATATTGAGCATATTAAGCATTCTAAGAGCAGAGATAGCTTCCTAAAATGTGTGAAAGAAAATGACCAGAAAAAGAAGGAAGCCAGAGAGAAAGGTACCTGCATTCAGCTAAAGCACCAGCCTGCTCCACCCAGAGAAGCACACTTTGTGAGAACCAATGGAAAGGAGCCTGAGCTGCTAGAACCTATTCCCTATGAATTCATGACATGATGGGTGTTAAAAATAAACTAATCTGTGGTCTATTTAAAAGCAAAAACAAAAACAAAATGAGCAGATGCTACATTTTTATGAAATAAAAAATTGCATTAGTTAAATTGAACACAGGGACACGCTGTCTTACACATGCTTTTGGACTTGTAGGTGACATTTTTTACATAACTCTTTTCTGAGTGAGGGGCCTTCACGCTGTCCTCACTTAATTGTGTGTGTTTTATTTTATTTTTTTTTAGTTTTACTATAGGGCATGTGCACTCACCAGAGAGGGAGAGAAGAAGAGGGGAAGAAAGAGAGAAAGAGAAAGGGAGAGATCACCCTTCAGGAGGATGGCCATGCCACAGTACCTTCTCCGTTTTCCTTTCAGGATTTCAGGCACACACACATACACACCTGGTAATTTTCCAAACTGCTGAATCTGGGACTCAGAACATGAGGGCAACCATGTGAGATCCAGCTACCTTAATCTCTGTGCTACCTCCTCCTGGCTCCTCTCTTAGTTCTTGTTTTAACTTCCTCATGGAAAATTTATGGAATTTTTTTTTTTTTAATGTTTTCTTCTTTCCATGAGAGAGAGAGACGGAGAGGTAGAAACAGAGAAATAGGCACCCCCAACAGGGTCTTTATGCTGCAGTACAACCCCAGTCTTAGTCACCCACCCAGATCAGAAGCAGGTATGTTTATGGTTGACATACTCAGGGAGATCCCATAAACCCAGGATATTTCTCTTGTGAATCTAGTTGTGTTACCACTGTGCCTTTGTCTGACCTCTTGGTTTGTTTTTTAAAATTCTCCTCACCCCTATCTTGTTGTTCTGCATAGAAAATTAAATTTTCCTGCAACAAATAGCTCATAGTATTCTGCTGTGAGATAGCAGAGTTCATTAAACAAAGGTATACTAATTGCTTAGGAAGGAAACTTTTCTATTTTTCTCTCCCTCCGTGAAATGTCCTAGAAAGTAGGCAGAGGCTGTGACTGAACAGAACAGTCTCAACTCATGCTAAGAAAGAGCTCAGGAGACCTAGGGCCCAGATACTGTAGCTCTGCCAAGTGCTCTTTCTGTGCAGTGCTTTTCCACCCTGCTCTGCCGTGTAGAGGAAGGTACCTGTTGCAAAGGGAGATTAGAAGTGAGCAGAGTACAGAGGACAATGAATAAATACTTGATTTGGGAGACAGTGTTATCATTAAGTTAATGGGTTTTGCTTTGGTTACAGGTAGGAATAATTAATAAATTTTTAAAATTTTCAAGGGTGTTTGATTTTGACTTGAAATTTTTGGATTTCCATTTAAAGTTCTGCATTTTTCATATGTTCATTTAGCCATTCAGTTTTCTTTCGTATAAGTCTGCTTATATACTCAGGCTATTTGCTGGTTAGGACCTTAACAATTTTTTTCCTTATTAATTTGTGTGGGTCCTATAAACTATAGATGTTAACCCTCTTGATTTTATACATTTGCTTTTTAAAACTAGAAACTGAGCTCCCCCTCCCCACCTAATAACTCTACTTCTTAAAATGATAACTGTAGGGACCAGCAGATGGCATAATGGTTACGTTACTGGACTCCCACATAATCAGCACAGTTCAAGTCCCAGATCTGGTGGCTTAAAACTCACATCAGGTGTGTGCGCATGTGTGCGTGTCTAGAATCCCAAGAGGAGAATAGAGGGGAGGGGATTGCAGTATGACCATACCCCTGGAGGGTGATTTCTTGCTTTCTGTCTTTGTTTCTCTGGCAAGTACATGTGTCCTACAGTAAAAAAAAATTTTAAATCTCCTAAAAACAAAAAAGATGGTAGCTATATTTCTCCAAATAATAAAAAAGAAGTAAAAACAAAATCTTTAGAAAATTATTTCTCTTTCAGTTATTAAGTTGTCCCAATTCATCATACCTGTGGAAGACTTTCTGTAGGGGTGCTGATAGCCACAGGTCTCGCTTTTGCCTTTTTATGCAAGGTTGACAAAGCATAGAACACAGGTTAAATGATTTATTGAGAGGGTGATCTTTAAATTTTCATTAAAATGGAGATTTAATCCCATATTCTCTATTCCCCAATGCAGAGAGGACTCATACTTCTCAGAAACTGAAGATCGTTATTTTCATTTTTACTATTAGCAAGCTTCTATTAATATGTCCATTCTGCTTCTATTGAAACTATATTTTAGAAAGATTTTTTTTGCTATAGGGTGTGTGCGTGCTAGCAAGAAAGAGAATGAGATATCACCCCTCGGGGGATGGCCGTCCCACAACCCCTTCTCCTCCATTTTCCTCTCAGGATTTTGGACAAGCATGCACATGTGCCTGGAAAGAGTTTCAAGCCTCCTGGTCTGAGACTTGAACCATGGATGGCCATGTGGGAGTCCAGCACCTTAACCAGTATACACCACCTGCTGGCCCCACATTGAAACTTTTTAAAAGTAGGACTGGGACCAGTAGTTGGTGTAATGGCTATGTTGCTGGACTCCAGCAGTCTGAGTTCCGGACCCGGTGGCTTAAACTCATGCTGGGCATGTGTGCATACATACATGCCTAAGATCGCGAGAGAGGAATGGAGGAGAAGGGATTGCAGCGTGGCCATCCCCCCTGGGGAGTGATTTCTTGCTTTCCATCTCTCTGTCTCTGTCTGGTGAGCACACGCCCTATAGCAAAAGCCTCTTTGGGAAAACAAAAACAAAAACAAAACAACACAAAAAGTAGGACTAATTCAGTGTACAGTTTAAAGACTACTTTGTCCAGATGAGTCTCTGAGCCTAGAGCCCCTTGTTTTCTTGAAAGCTGTGTGGGGCTAGTACTCCTGCAAGGTGTGGTGCTGACTTAGTGACAGTGAATTTCTTCACTTGGATTTTCATTGATTGTTGTTTTATAAGACAGATAGTACTTCTAAGGCAGCATAAACAGAAGGACTGCTAAGGAGCTGGTATTAGAATTAAAACCAAAACGTATCTCTGATTAGGTACTTCTTAGGCTCATATTTTCAGAAATGTAAAGTTCCAGGATTGTGAAGACACAATTCCAGTCTGAATATGGTATGTACAGTCAGTTCATCTTTAGAAACTGTGGTTTTAATTGGCATTGTTTTTATAGTTGTAGCCACATTGGTGAAGGAAAACCACGTTTAAAATGTGTAATTGTTTCTAGGCTTCAGAAACTGGCTTTGAGAAATAATTCTACATCCATCACCCAACACTTACGACTGCTTATTAGAGGACAAGATCAAGACTGCTTTCAGGTTCGTAGAGTCTCTTCCTCTGTCTGATGTTCTGTATAGTTATAGAACACTGCCATGTACAGGCCATTTTGTTATTCATATCTTTTTATGAGTTTGTATTAGCAGTATCTTTTATTTGTGCTACTGCTTTGTTTTATGCAGTGATTATTTTTAAATTGTAGCTTCAAAACACTTTTGGTTCAGAGGAGCGATTGACCAGTAACTGTGAGATCAGAATCCGACCAAAAGAAGACATTACCATCTCTGTGTTATTTGCTCCTACTCGGTTATCTTGTATGTTGGCTAAACTAGAAATCAAACAACTTGGAAATCGATCACAACCCGGCATTAAGTTTACAGTAAGATAATTTTACTCCTTTTTTCCTCCCATGGAGTTTATGACATGTTACAACTTACTGGTTTAATATTGATAATTTATATATACCTTGCTTTTCATAGTCCAGTATATGTGATTAGCTTGCCTTACAAACAAATCTGGGGGGACCAGCAGTTAGCATAATGGCTGTTGCTGGACTCCCACGTAGTCAACCGCGGTTCGCGTCCCGGACCCGGTGGCTTAAACTCACGCCGGGCGCGTGTGCGTGCGTGCTCAAGATCCCGAGAGGAGAACGGAGGACAAGGGATTGCGGTGTGGCCATCCCCCCGGGGGGGCAGTTTCTCGCTTTCTATCTCTCTGTTTCTCTCTTTCTCTCTGGCGAGCGCACGCGCTCTATATCAAAAAACCTCTTAAAAAACAAACAAACAAATCTGGGAATATAGCATTGTCAAAAAGTTACCATCAGGGACCAGGAGATCCAGTAATGGTTCCGTCCCTGGACAATGAAGGAGGAGGGATTGTGACATGGCCATCCACCCTGGGGGGGGTGATTTCTCACTTTCTGTCTCTCCAGCAAATGCATGCACCCTAGAGCAAACATCTCTCTCTCAAAAAAAAAAAAAAAAAAAGCAACCATCAGAGTATTCTTAATAGCAATAATCTCTTCTGATGCTTTCCCCCCAACCCACCCAAATGCTGGAGTGCTTTTGCTCATGGATGTGAGAGAAGGGTGCTAGAAAGGAAGAGAGAAACAGAGAAAGAGAAACCTCCCCCGCATGAGGTCTGGTCACACTGCAATCCTTTCTCTTTCAGTTCTCCAGCTCTTCTGGATCTGAAGAGCATACATGTGCCCTGTGTGTTTTTTTCAAGCCAGTAGGGCCAATATGAAAACTCACTTGGCCACATGGGATCTGGCTTCCTCTGCTTAGAGTCTAACCACTACGCTATTTTCTAGTACTTTTAAGTTGCATTTCAGTTTGAGGATTTACCTCACTTTTCAGAAGCACATTTTTTTGGTAAATCAAGGTAGAGCTGTTTAAGATACTGGCTTTCCAAGTAACTTTTCTTTCTATTCAGCAACAATGTTTTTTTTTTGTCCTTGGGGTTTGAGTTTCCATACTTTTCTTTGATACTGGCTGGCCCAAATGCTAAGAGATTTTTATGGTAACAGCTTTTTCCCAAAATCATTTTATTGTGAACACTTTCAGGATTAATAAGCAGTTGTAATAATTATACAGTAAATATACTTACATCCCCTACCTCTTAAGATTCTACAGTTAACATTTGGCTATATTTCTTTTACCATCTCACCATCCATCAAGTCACCTTTTTTTAAATGCATCAGTATGTTTTACCCTAAAAATGCTTAAAAAGCATATAATCTCTCTTTTATATTGTTCCTCTGTCTTCTAAAATTGGCTTTTGTAACAGTGAAATAATTATTCCTAGCATATTAGAAAGAAAATAATCATGATATTCTTTATTTTTCCCTTAAGGCAAAGTCTTTAAATATAATGCTGAACTAGAATTGAGATAACTACTAGCCAAAATATATAAACATTAACAACTTTAGTTATATTTACTTATTTTGTGTTTTTTTCCTGAATATAATTTAATCATTTGCTTTCATCTTATATAAAAGTAATATTGGACGTATATTTTCTTTTAGATACCTTTGTCTGGATATGGAGGAACAAGTAATCTTATTTTAGAAAATGTTAAAAAATTATCTGACAGTTATATGGTGACAGTGAATGACTTAGTACCTGGCAAAGAAAGTAAAATTGTTTTTTCTGTCCGCAACACTGGCTCTCGAGCAGCTTTTATTAAAGCAGTAGGTTTTAAGGATTCTCAAAAGAAAGTTTTGCTGGATCCTAAAGTATTGAGGATTTTTCCAGATAAGTTTGTACTCAAGGAAAGAACACAAGAAGTAAGTATTAAAGTCTCACAACTAAAAACATGAATGAATTCATTTTAAGATTTAAATTAATAATTATGGGGACCAGTAGATGGTATAATGGTTGTGTCCTGGACTCCCATGTAGTTGATTGTGGTTCGAGTCCTGGATCCAGTGACTTAAAACTCAGGCCAGGCATGTGTGCTTGTGTACCCAAAATCCAGAGAGGAGACTGGAGGAGAAGGAATGTGGTGTGACCATCCCCCCAGGGGGTGATTTCTCACTCTCTGTCTCTCTAGCAAGCAAAAATCTCTCTAAAAAAGGGGAAAAGAATTATTAATTATATATTTTATGGACCAAGCTAAAATATATTTGAAAGTAGTATAGGAGTGGAAGTGTGTATCTTGTCTTCTTGGAAATGCCATACATATGTACTGTGTCTGTATTGAATGAAATAGCTTACTTAAGAGAAATATTTAATATTCATTCTTTTTTTTTTCTCGGCATCAGGATGTGACTTTAATATATAATCCATCAGATAGAGAGAGCAATTACAGAACTGCAACAGAACTGTCAACTATATATTTCTTTGGTGGAGATGAAATTTCGAGACAACAATATCGAAGGTAGATTACTTATCTTAGACAATGTTGAGAACTGTTCAGTAGAAATACTGAATGCTTAAAAGGTTTGGGACTTGGAATTTAGAACATATTTAACTATCAGTGACTTGTGGTTTGAAAAGGCTTGCTAAAATTTGCATGACTGATAAGCTGCTGTAATATGAGGGAAAAAATGCCTGTAGGACACTTACCTCTTATATTTCCTTACAGCCGCCTCCTTTTCTAGACTTGCATGTTGTAGCTCTGTGCCTTTACTCAGTGGGAGTGTTCGACTTCATAATAGACTATATTCATAATGTAGTCTTGAGGCTCTCCCCTAAGAACTACTAAAGGTTATGTTGTGCAAACACACCTGGTTGACTTGGAATAATTCTGGAAATACTATGAATTATTTGAAAGGACCAATTTGATTTTTAACTTGTTGCTACTTAAAACATTTACTTCTATAAAATTTGATATGTTTAATTTTAATGTACTTTAATATACTGAACTGTTGGCAAATTTAGGATATGGGTTTAAGGTCTAGGTATCATTTAAACATAAGGCATATTCTTACATATTAATTTCTAGATTCTTTTATTATAAAATTTAATTTCCTAAACTAGAGGACCTAAATATGAGCTCATATTTCATCTCTTAGTAGGAAACCATTAATTCGAGGAGAGAGGTATTGACCAGAAATACTGGTATACCAGTATTTCTTTCTTCCAGTCCTTTGTGCTCTGCTATATTTTATTCTGATAGAGAGTTTATAAATTATTTTGTTAATTTGTTGAGGATCATTGAGATGTTTAAAAAGAGGTAGTTTAATTTGCTACATGATGTTATAACAGAAGACCAAATGTGAAGAGCTCACTTTTGAACCTAGTTTTGACCTTAAATTATGTATTTTAGAAATAGATATGGGACTGGCCCTGAAACCTCTTAGTTAAGGAAACTGAATCCCACATGGCTGTTGCTGCTTTGAATCCTGGACCCCATGGCCTGAAAAATATGCTGGGTGCATGTGTGTGCATGATCAAAATGCTGACAGAATGAAGATATGGAGAAAAAGGGATTGCAGTATGACCATGCCCCATCAGGGGATGCTTTCACTCTCGCTCCGTCTCACACATTTTAAAAATATTGATAAAATAAGAAACATTTGGATAAATTAAATGACCAGGTTTCCTGTTTTATGTTTGCTAGTTTGGCTTTTCTAGATTTTTTTACTATGGGCATCTGCGCTTGCCGAAGAGAAAAAGAGAGAGAAAAGCAAAAAATCTCTCTCCAGAGGGGATGGTCACGCCACAATCCCTTCTCCTCCATGCTCTCTTTGGGATCTTGGGCACACATGCACAAGCGCCGAAACTCACACGACATGAGTTTTAAGTTGCTGGGTCTAGGACTCAAACTGTGGTCAATTATGTGGGAATCCAGTGATAATCATTATGCCATCTGTTGGTCCCAGTTGTTTTTGCCATAGGGTGGGCAGCACCATGCCCCTGTTTTGTTGTTTGTTTGTTTTCCTTTCTCTTTACTGGAATATAGAAATTAGTATATTTTAGAACTCCTTTTTTTTTTTTTGCCATAAATACACAGTAATGAATTTTTCTGTATCTGAGTACTGCAGAGAAATGTACATTTCAGGTCACTAACTTTAAAGATTCTTTGGAAAAGGCCAGATAGACAGAGGGGTTTAAATATTTTCCTGTAATATCCTACTTATTTATGTATTTTTAAGAGATTTTTGCTATAGGGCGTGTGTGCCCACCAGAGAGTCAGAGACAGAAAGTGAAAAATCACCCCCTTGGGGGATGGCCATGCCATAATCTCTTCTCCTCTCAGGATTTTCAGCATGCATGCACATGTGCTTGGCATGACTTTAAGCTGCCGCGTCCAGGACTCAGAGGTCTACTACTTGGGAGCCCAGTGATGTAACCATTATACCATCTGCTGGTTCTAATGTCTTATATTTCATAGCATGCTTTTATATTTGAGACTTTTTAGATTTTTTGCCATAGGGCACATACACTTACCAGAGAGGAGAGAGAGAAAAAGTGAGAAAGTCCCTACCCCTCACCCCCAAAGGGTGATGGTCACACTGTAGTCCCTTCTCCATTCTCCTGTTGAGATTTGCTGGGTCTGGGACTTAAACTGTGGTTGGCCATGTGGGAATTCAGTGCCTTAACCACCATGCCACTTGCTAGCCACCTAAGACAAATTTCCAAGTATTGCCTAATTATCACAAGTAATGGAAATGTGAGACCTGAAAAAATAAATCTAATTTTTTCTTTCTTCTCTTATACTAGGAAGTTCTTCTTTTGATTTTAATATTTAACTGAAACTGATGATTTTACTATTATGTATATTATAACTTTGAATGAAACTCCAGAAAGGTTTCTTTTTCTTTCCCTTTTTTAATTCCCAGAAGGTGTGTAGGTGTGTACACTTGCCAGAGAGAGAAAGCAGCCCCCCCCCTTTTTTTTTCCACTTCACTCTCTTGTTAGGATTTTGGGCATGCACACACTTGCGCATGGGGCTGGGACTTATGGCACAGTTAGCTGTGTGCGATCCAGCTCGCGAGGCACAGTAGTCAACCACTGTACAATGGGGCCAGCCCCAAATCAGTGTTCTTTTGAAAACTGCTTATATTAGGACCTGAGATATGCGATTATGTTTTAATGTATTAATGTATCATACTGTTAGTATGATTTCTCAGGTGCATTAATGAAAATCTAATTAAAGTTATCATATATATAAAATCTCTTTTGAATAAACATTTCTTTTGGCAGAGCACTGTCGCATAAACCAGGGATTGTAAAACAGATACTTCCAGAACATAGTGTTCTGCAAAACATTAATTTTGCTGAGGCATTTCAAGATGAGTTACTCGTAACTGAAGGTAAGAATTTCAACATGTCTTCATGCCGTAAGTTTCTTGTGTCATTTTTGGTACTCTCTGCGTCCAGTAATGTGACATAAGAAGGAGGAATGTTAATTTGGATGGAGTGTCAGGTTGAGTTTTAGCCACAGCTCTGCCGTATGAACAAATGGAAAAAATTGCATCACTGAAATTCAGTTTCTTCATCTGTTTTTGTTGTTGTTATTTTTGAGAGATTTTTACTATGGGGCACATACACTCACTGGAGAGAGATAGACAGAAAGTGAGAAATGATCCTCTAGGGGTTATGGCCTCGCCACAGTCCCTCCTCCATTCTCCTCTTGGGATTTTGGGTATGCACGTGTACACACCCACTGTGAGCTTTAAGCTTCTGGGTCTGAGACTAGAACCTCAGTCACCCATGTGAGAGTGGTTATAGTGATGTAACCATTATGCCCTATGCTGGTCCCCTTCATCTGTTAAAAGGGAATGATATCTAACTTCTCACCTAGTTGTTATGATGATCAAATGAAAGAGTTTTGCATATAAATGTTGTATTACTACATTTACACTGCGAGTAGGCTTAGAAATAGGAAGAGGGCAATGGTTATTAAATCTAAATTAATTGCTGCCAAAGAGCTAATGATTATAAACTCACACTCATTTTGAAATTTCCATGCTATTATGCCTACTGTGAGACATGAAAGATGTGATGGTGGCAAAAACATCCAAAATAGAGTGGTGTCATGGCTCTAACCTAGATGGTTAGCCCTATTTGAGCTAACTAGTTAAAATATTTAATAGTGTGCATTACTCCAACTATATATATATATATATATATTGAAACGTGTAAAACTATATGTACAGATTTTTTGCCATAGTATTGTTTATAAATAGCAGAAATTAGAAGTGACCTAAATGCTTAAGAATAGGGAATGGTTTAATTTTGCAGTAGAATATTTTGAAGTCATTAAAACAATGAATGAATGAATCTATTTCAAATGATACAGAAAGCTTCTCATTTATTAAGGAAAACATTGTTTCAAAGTTTGCATAGTAAGATCTCATTTTGGCAAACATAATGTATATATAGTGCAGTTACAGAAGTAAAATTGCAGGAGTAATAAGCATACCAAAATATTAAGTGGTTATATTCTGGAGGAAGACTTTTAGATCGTAGCTTTCTTCCTCTGTTTTTATTTTCTAACTTTTTAGTGGTCAAATATATTTTGCTTCTGAAATATTACATGATAATGATTAAAGATACTTATACCTTTGTAGGGGGTGATAAGGTGTAGTGTCATCCTTTCATTAAATTAGGAGTCTAGATCATCTTTCAAAGGGAAGGATAGTAATGGGTTAAAAATGATGAAAAAATTTTGGATGGACTTGTCAGTAGTGTGCTAAGGGAGCCGAGTAAGAGGAAATATTCTTAGATTTGGAGTTGAAACTCAATATAGGACCCATTTCTTTCACTTCAACCCTCTGAGCTTCATCTTCCCCATAAAAAAGATTCAAATAAAAGTTAAACTACGCTATGGAGTTGGAACACAAACAGTACCATATATATATATTTTTTTGGAGAGGTTTTCGCTATAGGGCACGTGCGCTCACCAGATAGATGGAGAGAGACATAGAGACAGAAAGCGAGAAATCATCCCCCAGGGGGGATGGTCACACCGCAATCCCTTCTCCTCCATTCTCCTCTCGGGATCTTGGGCACGCACGCACACACGCCCGGCGTGAGTTTTAAGCCACCAGGTCCGGGATGCAAACCGCGGTCGACTACGTAGGAGTCCAGCGACAGCCATTACGCTAACTGCTGGTTCCCACAAATAGTACCATATTGTGGCTGTTGTGAAGATTAAAAGTAGGTAGCAAGAGTTGATAGTGGCTTAGTAGTTGACATAGTTCCACAATTCAGCAACATTTTGTTCATTGAGTAAATGTACACACACTGAGAGGACCAGCTGCCAGTCAATATGTAGATACTGGGATGTGGAAGTACAGGATGCAGTCATTGCCCATGAAGGGCTCATAGATTGAGGGTAAGACAGATGATTAAAGTGCAATATGGAGGGACCACCAGGTGGTGTGGTGATTAAAGTACTGAACTCCCACATGGACGACTGCAGTTCAAGTCCCGACCTGGTGATCTGCTGTTTCACTTTCCCCTTCTCTCTCTCTTTCTGTCTCTCTTGTCAAATTAAAATAATAATAATGAATGAAATTAAATAATTTTTTAAAATGTGCAATATAGAAAGTGTTGTAATAGAGATACTTTTAGGATTCTGGGAGGGTACAGAAAAAAAGCACTCACTTGTGATGAAATGACTCTTGAAGTAGACTTGAGGAAGAAGGAGGATTTGGCTAAATGGAGATGATAGGACCTGGATGAGGTAGGAGGTTCCAGTTAGAGGGAGCTGTATATATAAAAATTAAAGAAATATGTTAAGGGTTGCATTGACAGACCCAACTGAGAGCTCAAGTAAACTGCCAATATCACCCATCTGGAATGGATTGAGTTGGGACTTCGGCTGGGTCTTTGGGGCGCCAGATTTCCATTCAAAGAAATACTATTTGTTTGTTTGTTTGTTTGAAGAGAGATTTTTGCTGTAGGGCACATGTGCTCACTGGAGAAACAAGAGACAAGCAGAAAGTGAGAAATCACCTGCCGTGGGGATTTCCATGCCACAGTCCCTTCTCCATTCTCTCAGGGTTTTGGGCACGCATACACACGTGCCTGGCGTGAGTTTTACGCCGCTGGGTCTGAGACTCAAACCACATTCAACTACGTGGGAGTCCAGTGATGTAACCATTACACCATGGGTCCCAAGAATACTGTTTTAGGCTGGTATATTTGTTGTCCATTTGATGGAGGAAACAATCCTACATTTTTTGTGTTGGTCGTTACTATAGATTATCTATGAGAATGCTGCAGTCAACACTTTTTATGTAATTATTTTGAATTTCATTTGCTTAAACATATTACAACTATTTGTACTGATCTCAATTTTGCAAAATGTGTAATTTTTGGCAAATATTTTCACAGTTGAAAACTTCTAGTCACATGTCTTGGTTAATTTAAATTTACTGTTACTATGTCCTTTCAAAATTTCCATTTTTATAATTCTTGTATATAGAATAAAAGTATATTCTATAAAATTTCTCATAATTACAGATTTGTATAGCCTGATCTATAGATGTTTATCTTAAGTACTCTGTTATTCCTTTTTCATTGCCAGGGGTATGTGTACTCACCAGAGATAGAGAAGGGGGAGGGGGCAAGAAAGCCACCCCCTAATGGATCATGCTGCAGTCCTCCATTTCTTCATCCTGTTGGACTTTGTGCACATGCACACACACACACACGCACACACACACACCTGGCAAGAGAATCCCATCACTTGGGCCAGGATGTGAACCATAGTTGGCCATGAGGTATCCAACTGCTTTAACCACTAGGCGATGGGACAGGCCCAAGTACTATATTACTAATTACAAGTAATTATATAAAAAGCGTCTTGTTTTTATATTTGCTTAAATGGAGTGTCTATGAGACTGCCACTTATAGACATGTACACTTAACCTCTTTGTGCTTTAGATATCTTACCTTTGAACTGGAGGTAGTAATTTTTTATTTTTTGTAGAGGTTTTCTTTTTTTGCCTTAGGGCATATATGCTCATTTGGGGAGAGAGAGACAGACAGAAACAGTGAGAGAGAAGGTAATAAATCACCCCTTCAAGGAGAATGGCCATGCCACAATCCCTTCTCCATTCTTCTCCCAGCATCTTGGGCATGCATGCACACACACCTGGCATGAGTTCCAAGCTACCAAGTCCAAGACTTGAACCTTGGTTAGCAATGCGGGAGTCCAGTGACATAACTCTCTCTCTCTCTGTGTCAGTGAATTAAATATTATTTTTTTAAAACACCTCCACATGCCATCAGCTGGCCCCATTAATTTAGTTCTGAAATGAACTAAATTAATGTATATAAAGGGATTAGAATAGTGCTTGGCTTACAGTAAGCTTCATATAAATATTTGTTGACATGTATGTCTTTGAAAACATTCTTATTTTAGTGCTTACATTAGTCCCTAAAACCCATTGTTACTCCTTATTATTGTTGAGGAAACTAAAGCTCATAGAGGTTAAGTAATTTGCCAAAGGTCACAGAGCTAATGAGTGGCTAGGAGAGTTCAAATTCAGGCTCAGAGCCTGAGCCCCAACCAGTGGCCCTGAACTGCCTATACTTTCATGCTAGGCAGTAGTAGTAATAATTGAAATATCTCCTCTCCTAACCTAAGGAAATAATATGTTATGGCTTTAGATGTTTAAAGTCATCTGTTATTTTGTGATGTGCTTATATGAAGATTCATGTATTTCCATTTCAGTATATGATCTTCCCCAGTGGCCTAATGATGTTCATCTCTTTTATGGAAACATGCGTAAAATTATACTTTCAGTAATTGGAGAATTCAGAGATTCCATTTCTAGCAGAGAATTTCTTCAGCCTTCTTCCACAGCTCCTTTGGAATCTAAAAGGTAAAACAAAAATCTTCCATCAGATTTCAAGATTATTTGATTCACAGTAGACCTGATTTTTCCCCCTATACTTTATTATTATTATTTTGTCTCAGAATATTTACTTTAATTTTACTTTCTAGATCAAAGTAATGTAATTTCAAACTTCCAGCAAAGTTTAAACATAATACAGAAAACTCCCATATACTCTACATTCAGATTCCCTAGTAATTACCATTTTACCATATTTACCTTGTCATTTGTTACTTGTGTATAACTATTTTCTGAACCATCTAAGAGTAAGTTGCATGGATGATGACCAGTTAGCCCTAAATGTCCTGACAGTGCTCTCCTACATGGCCATGATAAAAATTAAAACACTTAATATTGACACAGTATTGCCATTTAGTCCACAGTACTACCATTTAATCCAGATTCCATTTATATTCTGACAATTGTTCTACTAATGTTCTTTATGGCTAACTAAAATCACAAACAAAAATGCTTCTTTTTCCCTCTTTCTCTGATCCAGAATCTAATCTAAGATCACACACTGTGTTTAGTTGGCCTGTCTACTCTCTTGCAATATAGAACAGTTCCTCAGTTGGACTGGCTCCATGGTCTAGTGCTTAAAGGAGCCAGACTCAGCAGGTTGAGAAACATGCTGGGCACATATGTGTGTGTGCCCCAGATCCTCAGAGGAGAGAGAGGTGGAGAAAGGATTGCAATGTGACCACTCCCCATGAGGATGCTTTCTCCTCTCTTTCTCTATGGCAAGTGTACATGTCATCTAGAAAAAGAGGCAAAAAACAGTTCATCAGTCTTATCTTTTATGACTGAGATGATACAGAGGATTGGATTGTCAAATTAAAGCCAGAGAAGCAAAGCAATTATCCAGAATTAAGTAACTTTTTAGCTGAAGTCCAGAGAAGTCTGGAACTGCCACTGACACTTCCTAAGTACTTTGTGAAATGTTAGCACTTGTGCTCTGGTTCAAATGTAGTACAAGATCTCTTTTAGTTATTACTCTGGGGCATTAGAGGTCTGATTTGAAAATGAAGGGTAAGAGAGCAGCAGAAGAGTTAAGGACAGATTTCTCTCTCTGCTAAGTGTCGATTTGAGATAGGTAAAGGTGTAGCTTAACTGTATGGTAGGAGAATTTGGGAGGTGCACAATTAGACTTCAGTTATGCCATGTACTTCGGTAATTACAAAACTCAGTTGAATTACGTTTTTTAATATAAGGCTTCCGAGAAAACACTTTTCTTCAATACCTACTAAAAATCTCTCTAAAGTGTTTTAGTATTACTTAACTGTTGCATTTTGCTCAGAAGACTCTTCTGTTTTAATTTTTTTTTTAGTATTGTCATAGTTATTATTGTACAGTTATAGATATATTAAGAGTTTCATTTATTTTAAATTCCTAGTATTGGGTCATTTTCTGTTAAATCTTTAGAGAGACCTCAGATAACATTCAGAACAAGGCAGAAAGAAATTTTAATTATTGACTATTATAAGTTCATTGTAATATTTGACCTATTCTTGATTTTTTTTTTGTATACTATCTTTAGGTATACACAGTATGAAGGTTTTTTTAAAAATATATAAATATTTAATTCACTGACACAGTTTGGGCATTTAATAGGTTTGTTTGTTTTAATTTTGTCTAGAGGGCATGTGTGCGAGAGAGAGAGAGAGAGAGAGAGAGAGAAGCAAACAGAGTGAGAAAGCACCCCCCTAAAGGGCCATGGTCATGCCGCAATCCTTTCTCTACCCCGTTGGGGTTTGGAGAACACACACACACCCAGCATGTTTTTCAAGGCACCAAGACTGGGACTCAAATCGGGCTGTTGGCCATGGTGAGACCTAGCTGCCTTAATCAGGCCATAGAGCCAGCCCAGTTTTATTTTTCAATTTGCCAAAGGGCATGTGAATTTGCCAGAAGAAGACCGAAAGGGAAAGGGAGAAAGCAGCTCCCCCCACCCCACACAGGGATTGATCACACCACAATCCTGTCTCCATTTCTCCATCCTATTGGGATTTTGTGCATGCACACACATGCATCTGGTGTGCTTTTCATGCTACCAGGACCTGGTTTCAGATTGCTCACTTGAAGATGTCTGAGCCAGCTCCCTTAACCACCAGCCATTGGGCTAGCCTTAAAGGATTTTTATTCACTAAAAATACATGATATTTAATGAACTTTTAGTTTTGTCTTAATGTTTTAGGTTTATGAAGAATTAATGTCAAAATATGTGACATAATCTGGCTATTTCTCACTTTTATATTTTTCTCTCTCTGTTTTTCTATCTCTCTGACTTTTCAATTAATAATTTTTCCAGTGAGTTGGGAACTTCTGGAAAACACAGTGGCAATATCTCTTTGGATGTGTTACCAGTTAGAGGTCCTCAAGGTTCTCCTCTTCTCTCACAAACTGCTCACCCACCTCAGGATGCATTAGCCTCAGACGAGATGTGGATGGTCCAACCCGAACACTTGATTCTGGTGGCCCCTTCTCCATGTGAGTATGTCTGTGATTACGTGTGGAGGCTGGGCCTCCACTCCCTGTACCGGTGACTCATCTGAGACACACTGGGGAGTTTCATATGCTTTTGGCTCCTGGCTCACCAGGATCTGCTCCCACCACCACAGCAGAACTGTCATGCCCTGGGCCTCATCCTCAGCCTGAGGCCATGCTCCTCAGCCAGGTTCCAACTCCCCAGACAGAAGAGCCACTCATCAACAAACCTTCCATCAAACCTTCCCAACGAGCTCACTGGACACTCGGCCTCTGAGTACCTTCTGAGTACCTTCAACCCTGACACAGTTGGTTCAGGGTAGGAATAAATCTGGTACATATGTATATGCCAAACCTAGGACAAAGCAGTAATGATTTTCAGATTTACAGTTTTCTCTAACTTTATTCAGTATTACCAGTGCCTTTCTAATGCTGGAGAATTAACAAATGGACTATTTTACTAAGGTTTTGAAACTCCTTTAATTTAATTGATCAGTTAAGAGAGTACAGTAAATCAGTATACTAGTGCATTTAGTTAGGATTCCTTTTTTATTTTTGTTTTTTAGTATATATATTTCCTGTAACAGAGAGAGACAGAGAGACTGCACCATCAATAGGGTCTTGATGCTATGATCTTCCATCAGCCTCAGCCAGTCCTGGATCATGGGCATATGTGTGTCCAGAGAACTCCAGGGAGGGCTTCGGGCTTACACTGGGAACCTTCTCATGAGGATTTGCCTTGCAGACCATTGCCTCTTAACGTTACACCACTGTCTATCTGTCCTCTAGGATTTATTTATTTATTTATTTATTTATTTATTTATTTATTTGGAGAGGTTTTTGCTATAGGGCGCCTGCACTCGCCAGACAGACAGAGAGAGACATAGAGACAGAAAGCGACAAATCACCCCCCAGGGAGGATGGTCACGCCACAATCCCTTCTCCTCCGTTCTCCTCTCGGGATCTTGTGCATGGATGCACACGCACCCGGCGTGAGTTTTAAGCCACCGGGTCCGGGACGCGAACCATGGTCCAGGGAGGGCTTCGGGCTTACACTGGGAACCTTCTCATGAGGATTTGCCTTGCAGACCATTGCCTCTTAACGTTACACCACTGTCTATCTGTCCTCTAGGATTTATTTATTTATTTATTTATTTATTTATTTGGAGAGGTTTTTGCTATAGGGCGCCTGCACTCGCCAGACAGACAGAGAGAGACATAGAGACAGAAAGCGACAAATCACCCCCCAGGGAGGATGGTCACGCCACAATCCCTTCTCCTCCGTTCTCCTCTCGGGATCTTGTGCATGGATGCACACGCACCCGGCGTGAGTTTTAAGCCACCGGGTCCGGGACGCGAACCATGGTCGACTATGTGGGAGTCCAGCGACATAGCCATTACGCTAACTGCTGGTTCCCCCTCTAGGATTTATTATTATTATTTGTTAACATTTGTCTTTTTCACTATTTCTAACTATAACTATCATTTTCTTTGTCTGATATAATAGGTGACATGGCAAAAACCAGATGTTTTCAGATTGTAAATAATTCTGTTAGGTTACTGAAATTTGAGCTGTACTGGCCAGCACATTGCCTTACAGTCACGCCACAACATGGATTTATTGCACCAGAGTAAGTACGACTGCTATATTCTTCTGGGTGTTACTCAGATGCTATCATGGTGACTTGCTCAGGATCAAATAATATATCATTTTAATTTGTTCAGTAAAATTTTGCACTGTACTGACTCTGCCAAGTATATGCTAGGTTTTGTGGGACAGTAATGAGTTGAAGACTCATGCCTTCATTGACACAGAGGTCGTGTACACATCTGGATAGGGTGTAACTCAATTTGGTGAAGAGACATGTTTGAGAAGGAACAGAGTCCCTGAATGGAAGACATCAGAATGTTTTACCCTAGTACTCTGTCGCCAAAATTACAAAGCAAGGAAAAAACTGGGGCATGGAAAAAGACATAGTGTGTCTCTAAAGCCTAAATCTGCCATTCATTACTTTAGTTTGGATTACGTATTTTTCTGGTTTTGTCTGAAGCTTATTTTTCTGTCACAGCTTCCTGACTTAATATTTCTGAACCATAATGTAGCTTGCCATTTTCTACATAGGATATTCTAAGAAACATTGTAATAAAATGCTAAGTGAGTAGTAAACAAAATTTTGTTTTCTTCATTTCTTTTCCATCTTCTCCACATCTTTTCTTCTAGTTTTCTCCCAGCTTTTACAGTCTCTTTGTTCTTTGTATCATTTTTTCTAACCTAGTGGGTTAGCGCTTTTGTGATATTGGTCTTTTGCTCTGAGAGATTGTATTTTAAGTTGCTTTTAGAATGCTCTTTGTGTGGCTAGTCATTTTTACACAGCTGCCCTTTGTCCACAGTCTAGTTATCAATAGGAGATAAATCAGCAGCTGTGCAGCTGTACAGGGACTTCGCTGGTCAGCACAAGGCTTTTATTTCTCCAAGTTGCTTCATTATTTGGCCTCACAATTTTGCAGAAGACCAACATAAAGTTTATTTCCAAAATGTTGAGTGTATATTTTGGGAGTGTTTATTTGAATGAGACCAGGAGCCAAGGTATGATCATCCAGAGAAACATTACTGGGACCAACAAATCAGTTAAATATTTACTGAGCATTTATGTGCAACATAACGGTTTCAAAGATAGGGAGATGGTAGAAGAGATTTTTTTCACAAATAACTTTTCCCATAGCCCAGAATATTTACTTATTAGTGGTAGAAAACTGTCTTGCTCTGCTATATATGTCTTTTTAAAAATTTACTCACTGAAAAATAAAAAACAAAAAACCAGCAGTTAGCATAATGGCTGTCGCTAGACGCCCATGTAGTCGACTGCAGTTCGAGTCCCAGACTCAGTAGCTTAAAATTTACGCCGGGCGCGTATGCATACATGCCCAAGATCCCTAGAGGAGAACGGAGCAGAAGGGATTGTGGTGTGGCCATTCCCCCTGGGGGGTGATTTCTCGCTTTCTGTTTCTCTGTCTCTTTCTGTCTGGCAAGTGCACACGCCCTATAGCCAAAACCTCTCAAAAAAATGTTTTGGAGCCAGCAGGTGGCTTGTTGGTTACGGTGTTGGATTCCCACATGGCTGACTGGGGTTCGAGTCCCAGAACTGGCAGCTTGCTTTCTCACTGTCTCTCTGTTTCTCTCTGTCAGTCAAGCACACATGCTTTATAGCAAATTAAATAATAATAATAATGAAATAAATAATACCAAAAAAATTTTTATACTATATTTTTCCTGTACCTTTTCTATGTTTTGATGTATTTGGATTATCAGGAAACTCATGATACATTTTTGCATAGAAAAACATAGAAAAGATGTCATGAGTTTCCTGAAAACCTAATATTTAAATACATAAATATTTATTATTGTGTTACAGTTGCTTAAGTTTTTCAGTACAGTAACATGCCATAGAGGCTTGTGGCCTAGGAGCGATAGGCTACACCATGGCCTAGGTGTGTAGTAGGCTAAAGCATCTAGATTTGTGTGAGTACACCCTATCACACTTGCACAGGACAAAAATGCCTAATGAAGCATTCTGCAGAGTGTATCCCATTGTTTGGTGACCATGACTGTATGTTATACATGTACACGTATTTTATAAAGCAACATGTAAGCATTAGGGGGGTGTGTATTGTGTGTTTCTTTCTTTCTGAGTTCTGCACTTTCTTAGCAGCAGAGATAAGACTGAAGAGGTGAAGTACCTGAGGCAGTGCCTGCTGACTATCTGCAGAGTTCTTGCTAGTTCTCATTTTCTATGGGCTGTTTTTCATCGATGTAGTCATTGATAAATGCTGAAGACATTAGTGCTCCTGGTGGGATTTGCATCTCAGTTGGGGACCCTTAAAGATTTCAATGCCTTCAAAGCCCTACGAAATAAAACTCTAATGAAGAAATTGAAAGCCTTATAGCTGAAACCCACATGTCCCAGATTAGTCCAAATATTGTGACTTAGTCCAAATATTTTTTTAAAATCTTTTTTAATAAAAAGAAATCATTAAAAATTCTTCCAAATATAATTCAATTTTATTGCTTTTGTAAGTCTTGTCATATATAAATAGGCTTATGGGTTGGCCTAGAAATACATTTCAAGTAATTAATTGTAAGAGACAGCTATTTTTATAGATATTTTTGGAAGGAAAACATTACTGGGACCAACAAATCAGTTAAATATTTACTGAGCATTTATGTGCAACATAACGGTTTCAAAGATAGGGAGATGGTAGAAGAGATTTTTTTCACAAATAACTTTTCCCATAGCCCAGAATATTTACTTATTAGTGGTAGAAAACTGTCTTGCTCTGCTATATATGTCTTTTTAAAAATTTACTCACTGAAAAATAAAAAACAAAAAACCAGCAGTTAGCATAATGGCTGTCGCTAGACGCCCATGTAGTCGACTGCAGTTCGAGTCCCAGACTCAGTAGCTTAAAATTTACGCCGGGCGCGTATGCATACATGCCCAAGATCCCTAGAGGAGAACGGAGCAGAAGGGATTGTGGTGTGGCCATTCCCCCTGGGGGGTGATTTCTCGCTTTCTGTTTCTCTGTCTCTTTCTGTCTG